TCTTTTCTGATACTGGTGCATCGACAGACTTACAGGTCGCTTTAGTCACGCTCGCCATGTCATCCGAGACGGATTCGATCGGGGTCTTGGCCAGCTCTTGCTGCGCCTGTGTCTCTCGTATCTTGATCTCATCGATTGGACTCTGCAAAGCAGCGGACACTTCAGCATCGATGAACGCCTGACTGATCGACGACGGATGGGGCTTTTTGCCATTTACCTCGATCATGAAGTGCTCGTGCTCGTACTTGTCCACTGGCTCGTCTTTCTCCCCGACAGCCACCGGCTCCACGCTCTTTTCTAACTGGCTCTCGGGTGGAGACTCCTCCGCGTCTCGTGGAAGCTTCGTTTGAGTGTCCGGGGGTTCCAGCGGACTCGCCAGACTCTGTTCCAACGTAGCATCCGCGTCTGCAACCTTTTCTTCCTTCACTTCGGTTATCAGGACGCCTTTCTCGGTGTCAGCTTGCGGCTTTTCTATCTCCGGTTCCACGTACACAGTGCTCGGGTGCATGTCCTTCGCGAAGGCACCGAAGAACGGTCCTTGCATCGGAGCGTCGTCATCTTGAACGAACTTTGCTTCCTTCGTATCCTCCTCTTCCTTCTTTTCTCTCGCCTCCTCTTTATCGGTAACGTCCTCGACCACCAGAGTCTTCTCCTCGCTGGGTCTCTCGTCTCTGCCAAACTGCCTCTGATCTTCCTGCTTCACCACGTTGATGCTTATATGCGGTATGTTCTTCTCGTCGATCTCTATCTCCTCTGGCTCCTCTATGATCTCCTCGGTGGCAGTTTCCTTCCCGTCCACGATCGTCACTTTTCTGATGATCCTCCTGGTCTTCCTCACCACTCGCCTAGTCACCTGTTGCACCACCGCGTGCACGCTAGCCGTCTTCGCCTGGTATTCCCCGCCTTCCATCAGCATTCCTTCCTCGAAGGGCTGTGGACTGATGTCTCTGATGTGCCCCTGGGTCACCGTGTGCGTGTATTTCGGCGCTGACTCGTATTCTTCCACGTTCACGCTCTTGTGAGGAGTGCCAGTGGTTACCTTGCCGCCGTAGATCTGTTTGGTAGTTGTTTCTATGGTGCCATTCGGCTTCGTGGTGGTCATCGTCATCTGTTGATCCCTCATGGTGGCCTCTGAGAACGCGTGGACCACGGATGGGGCGTCTCCGATCGCAGTGGACATGGAAGACAGGTGTTGCTGAGTGGTTTGTCTGCTGGTCACCGTTGTTCGTCTCAGTTTCCTCACTATTATCCTCTTCGAGCCATCCTCGTCCACTACCACTTCGGTAGTCACGTCGTCTGGCTCTACTAACACCGTTTCGAACGACTGCGGTGCCGCGTGAACGATGTTCAATTCGCTGGTGGTGTTGTCCTTATTCGGGTCCTGGTACTTCATGTCGACCACGATGTCCTCGGTTATCGCGTCAGGCCGCTCTGGGTCCGTTTCCTGGCCGGAAGTCGAGGGTACGTTCTTCGTGGCTATCTCGATCACGTCGTGGTCTCCCTCGGTGGTCTTCACGATCTTTATGGCTTCCTGGGTCTGGAGGTTCTCCGCGCCGGGGTGCATCGTGTCCACGGTTTGCGTGGTCAACGAGTGACACTCGGCTGAGACCGGGATTAGGTTGGCGGAGGTTTGCTTGCTGAGTTGCTGCGGTTTCTCGACTACGTCGTTCGCTAACAAGCTCTGGCCCGTTTGCAGAGAAACGTCAGCGAGAGATGGCATGCTACTTTCGAGGGACGAGTGAATCGAGGGTGCTTGATCTAGGGTAGCGTCATCTCGGTCTGACGTTTCGTCGGCTCGCGCCTCCTCGTCGCAGAGCTCCTGGAAAATTTAAGAAACGGTTCTGGTTCATCACTGCTGCGTGAACGAACGCTGGTCCTTCGTTTGCAGGACGTGTACTCGATTGTTACCGTCTATCCTACGCATTTCGTATCCTGTCTTTCTACTCGCCTTTACGGTAGAATTACACGGAACCTTCCTTCTCGAGCATACAATTCGGAAATCGTGCGTGGTTTATTTTCGCGCGTGATCAGGCTGAAGCTGTGACGATGAAGTGACTCGAATTTGCTGCTAGCACGTGTTGCAACTGAGGTCGGGGGGATTCGGATAGGCGAGGTTTCGCGTGTTTTATTGCGTTTACGTAAGAGGGTTGAAAGTAGCGATGTAGCCAACAGTGGAAGCCTCCGTTACGGTAGCAAGATTTAATACGCCTTTGTTAATAACAGCACCACGTTAATCACCAGTTTGTTACGCGAAAGTCGACATTGATTGTTACATGATTGGTCCTTGACTATGTCGATCGGTACAGCCTGCACCTGCAATGCGGTGGGAACGGAGTCGGATGAATTATTTAGAAAACACGATGATCGAGGATCGAGTCCGAGAATATCCGCAGACAAGAACACTAGGCGCAACACTGTTGTATTTTTAACCCGAAGTGAATGCTACGTTGACTTTATTTTAATGCATTTATTTTTGGCACGTTCGAAGCTACCTATATATATTTACATATACATATATGACACGATTTATATGTGCAGAGAACGACCATTAGGTGGGTCGAAATTTACGACGGAGTAAACGAAAGAATAAGATAAAAAGGAAAGAAAGAGAAAATTTCTACGAGATACCGCGGAATTTCGAATATTTCAGAACGCGGATTTCAGGAAGAAGAGAAAAAAATAGAAAAGAAAGAGAAAAGAATATATATATATATAAATTTCGTAATTATTTTACACATACACATATCCATAAGTACATATACATATACAATACGTAGATATAGTTGGCGATGTCGAGGGGACAAATAAAGAAGGAGGGAGATGGGAATTAATGAGAATACTTTAATTACAGCATGAAAAAAATTACAAAGTAACTGTATTAACATTCCATAAACAAATGCTGCACCTAAACAATTACATCCATTACCTTAAGCTAAAGGAACATAAAGAGTGCGTTATATGTATAAATAAATACACCGTGAAGTTTGCGAGAAGAGTAAGACAATGGCAGAGCGTAGTGATGAGTATGTAAATGACCATATATGTGTTGCGTGTGCGATGAGAAGCCCAGATGGAAATTGAAACGTGTACGAGAGCCTTATCCCGCGGTGGTTCACCCGTTAATAAATTATCGTGCAAAATGATCCGCGATACGACAAACATAAATTATTACTACGTTGAAGCAGCGAAAGAAAAAAGAAGAAAGGATGTTACATGCTTGACTATATCTAACTGTCACCTTAATCCCATTCTTGCTATGATACAACATACAGGCATATATATGTATATATATATATACCATTCCCACATATACATACTGTGTACATCCTCGTTAATTCTTCAGGATCTCTTGCAACGAGACAAGAGACCGAATAATCTTCCTCCTTTCACCCCCACCCACAGAATGAACTAGAGAACTCGACTAGAAATCGACTAGAAATCTTTGCAAAATTGATCCATCTACGAATTCCAAAGACTATCTCTCTCGATGTTAGGCTACATCTGTCTCGTATAAATATAAACAAATATCAATAAATATCGGTTAAATATCCCTGGTTCGACTCTAGTTTCGTTTTCGTTGCTTTGGTCTTTCGCTTTCTATCATCGGGTGTACTTCACGAGACTGTTGCGCGAAGACCAGCGAAGTTTGCGTAAGCCCCTGAGCATTGGAAAACGTTGGATACCTGCTGCCCTTGCTGCAGTCGCGACATCACCTCCAACAGCGCATTCTTCAGGACCTTTGCCAGCGTGCTGATCTCTGGCAGCGATTCAAGCTCCGACACCCGCTGCGCGTGACTGCTCAGCTCATCCTGCAAAGCCTGTGTCCACACAGGGACACACACAGTCAGAGATAGCTCTCGCCTGCGTGATCTCGCATTCGTGCTTTCGTTTAAAAATAAGCTGCGCGCGCCGACATTCTAAAACGGTGGATTACGAGATCGTCAGGCCGAGGACAGGTCCGTGTCGCAAAAATCGCACGCGGGCAACCGAAATTCGAGAATTCCACGCGTTCCATTTCGATTTTCGCGAATTCATCGACGACGCGGCGATCTTTGCGCAAATTCCAATCCGACGAGTGCCGGAATTGCGGAGAAATTTCGAGCATCGACGGAGGATCGAAGGGTGTTAATTTTGCGAATTCTTCGATTCCCTGCGGATCGATTTTCGCGAATTTTTTGAAAATTCCAACGCGACTAGCTATCGGATGATTTAGGAAAAATTCGAAAACCAACAGAGAATCGAAGGGTGTTAATTTTGCGAATTCTTCGGTTCTCTGCGAATCGATTTTCGCGAATTTTTGGAAAATTCCAACGCGACTAGTATCGGACGGTTTAGGAGAAATTTCGAAAAATGATAGGGTGATTTTTTGCGGATCGATTTTCGCGAATTTTTTGAAAATTCCAACGCGACTAGCTATCGGATGATTTAGGAAAAATTCGAAAACCAACAGAGAATCGAAGGGTGTTAATTGTGCGAATTCTTCGGTTCTCTGCGAATCGATTTTCGCGAATTTTTGGAAAATTCCAACGCGACTAGTATCGGACGGTTTAAGAGAAATTTCGAAAAATGATAGGGTGATATTTTGTGGATCGATTTTCGCGAATTTTTTGAAAATTCCAACGCGACTAGCTATCGGATGATTTAGGAAAAATTCGAAAACCAACAGAGAATCGAAGGGTGTTAATTGTGCGAATTCTTCGGTTCTCTGCGAATCGATTTTCGCGAATTTTTGGAAAATTCCAACGCGACTAGTATCGGACGATTTAGGAGAAATTTCGAAAATCAACAGAGAATCGAAGGATGTTAATTTTGCGAATTCTTCGATCTTCCGCAGATTTTTTGACAACACTTTCGATCTTGTCGAGAATGCTATACTTCAAAGACCAACAGAGGGTCGAAGAACATGAAATTCTCGAATTCCTCGACGCTTGCGAATATTTTCAACAATGACACGTGGATTTTTCGAAACTTGCAACGAGTGGAACAGCAGAAAATTTCGAAGTGGTTCCGAGGACGAACAGAGTTCTTTGATGCGGCGTTTCATCGACCTCCTCCAACGATGGCTGAAAATAAAATTTCGTTTGACATGAACGCACCTTGCTCGTGATGATCGATTGTTCCTGTTTCATGCTGGCCACGATATTCTTCAGCCAGCTGTCCGTTTCGTCCAGGAATTTCTTGTACGTGAGAATATCATGGCCGCGTTGCTCGTGCTGGCTGCGTGCACCCTCTAGAGTGGCTCGACCTTGTTCCACCTGCGTCAACAGGGTGGCTATGCGACTCTGAACCTCTTCTAGGTTCGACAGAAGCTTCTGCGCTTCGAAATCGGCTGGTATCTTCCGCAGCTCCTCTTCCAACTGACACACTTCTTGATCGTACGTTTGTAGCTCGGCTAACAGGCTCTGCAAATAATTTCGATAATTCTACCCATCGAATCAAACCTCTATAAACTTAGACAGAAATTTAAAAACAAATCGCAATGATCAAATCGCAATGACACGAATAAAAGTTTAACCCTTTCGCTTCGGTCAGTTCCCTTTCAGTTCAATCCGCCGAAGTACTGTCAGTGAATGAAAGTGCTCGCCAGAAATATGTGCGTGGTTTCTGATATTTCTGTACGTTTTCCTAAGTCTTAACCGTTTGAGTCCCAGAGGGTTTTGAAAAAACAATTGGTATTCCTTTTAGTCATGCTATGATATGTAGCAGACAGAAAGACGCAGGGAAGGCTTCCTTTCGTCCTGGGCCTGTTAGTGGACTCGTCAGTAAGGCCTTCTAGCAGGCCCATTTTCATCCAAGCGCGGAACATTCCGCGAGTCACGACTGTCGTTTATCACCGAGCGCGGAATATTCCGCGAGCCACGACTGTCGCCTATCACCGAGCGCGGAATAATCCGCGAGCTGACTTTTTCCATTACCAATTGCTGAATATTCTTCATATGCCACAGATCACGTTTGATCCCTTTTCGAGCATCTTATTTACATCGGTTCATTAACACGCGAGGTGATACAGGCTGGTCGTCAGTTGCACGTCGCTGATGCCTGAACACGGCACCTTAAGTAGAGCCATGATGCAGATGGGTTAAATAACAACTGTGCCGAATAAAACAATCGTATACAGATTGCACTTGTATATTGCACTTGCATTATTTCGATGCCGGATATTTCGTACCCAGGAGTCATCGCGTGGACGTCGCCTATAAACCACGCTCGAAGCGAAAGGGTTAACGCGAATTTTTGGAAGCAAGATAAATGCAACGTTACGAATATGAAAGATCAATCAAGGACCATTGATGGCGTGGAATCTCACCGTGAGTGCGGCTAGCATGGAATCTATGCTATCTCGCGGTAAATATGTTCCTTTTAGGTTCGACAGACTCAGCTGTAAAACCAACAGTCGCTCCTGTATGATGTCCTGTAACATAGGTACGAATTAATGAACGTCGAGATTGGTCGACACGATTACGAAGAAAATATGCCGTGCACGTCAGGAGCTCGAACATCGGTCTGTTAATTCAGAGATTAGAGGAACTCGTCAAGTCTTTTAGCTAATCGTAACACGGGGGTAGGCAGGGGAACACACAGACGTATAGAAAGGGGGAGTTTTCAAACGTGTTCGGGCGATCGGGGAAACACGGCCATCCATGCAGCTCTGACAACAAAATCTGGATAAAGGGTACACATTAAAGGGAGGCTGAAAAATTCCGTCTATCTTAGCACAGCGTCGACCTCTTATATCGGAAGGATGTAGAAAAGAGGCGTTCCCTCTTGGGTGTCGGCTGTAAGAGAGAAAGCTACGGAGAGGGGATGAAAAAGTAAGTAAGGATGACAAAGTCACTACGAGGTGTAGCAACTGTCTATCGGTGTGTCGATAGGGTACGTCGACGCAACGCGTGACTTAGACACTAGCTTCCTTCGACCAAGAACGAAATTATTCGACGGCAAAAAGTGATCGTAATCATTCCCTTTCTTTTCCAAATTCGTCACGAGACCTGAGTTCTCGCTGGACCGCAACGCAAGCCGAAAATCAAGTAACGTTACGCTCGTGCATTAATAGTAATAGGTGGCATGCAATAGCACGATGCAGGGACAGGTGGGTAGAAAGCAGAAGGTAACAGCCAATTAAACTGTCAATATGCCGAAACGCAGGGAGTCAGCGATTAGGATGGAGGCACGCTCGATGTAGAGAGAAGTGAGAGTCTTAGATTAGAAAATAGCGGGTAGAAGTGGAAAGAAGAAGAAAACCAACAAAGAGGTAGAAGAACACTGTAGAAAACACTCAAGCACACGCACGCACACTCACGCACGCGCGGCCGCGCCTATGCATGCACGTGCGCATAGGCGCGAGACCGCGCGGTAAAACAATAACAACAACAATAACAAGGACAGTGAACTCGTTGAAGCTCGACTGGGTAAAGATCGAGCGCAGCTTGTGTTGTGATCGCACCTTGATCCCACGTATCCTCTTTTCAGCCTCATCTTCAGCTACCCCCGTCTCTCTCTGCGTCTCCAAGATTGGAGTGTGCCGCTGCATCGATCCTCTTTCTCTACCTAAATGTTCCTTGGGATCTGGGTCGTGGTCAGGGATGCTTGGCGTCGGGGATGGTTCGCGTGGATCGGAACGGATGGACTCAACCGGTTGGACCGGGCTCACCGCCTCCGCGTGACCTAACTCCGAGGGTGGCTCGCTGGAAACGAGCGACCCGACAGCGGACAGCGACTTATTCTCCTCGAAGTTGTCCGATGTCGTCGGGACAGACTCCAACGACGGGTCTTGGAATTTCGAGATGGACTGGTCGTCCTCGAGATGGATGGAGGATAATTGGGAAACGAGTTGGTCTACAGGATGGGCTAAGTCTAACACCGGGTTCTCGATCTTTTCCCGGACCAGCTCCGTCTGCTGATCCGTTCTCTGCTCGTTCTCGCTCGACAAGTAAGTACTGTAATCGCTCCAACTACCTATACCACCCGGGAGATCGGCGATCAGACGCTCGGTGTGAGGTCCACCCACGAAATAAGAGTTCAAAGGGCCACCGTTGCCGCCGCGATCGTTAAGGCTACCACCGTCTCGACCACCGTTGAAATCGTCATGGTCGTTGGGACCGCGTTTCGAGCCAGCCGACGGCTTCTCTCTAGGATAGTTAGCTAGGTTCTCGAATAGGTAGCGCTCTGCTTCGTGATAGGGGTGCTTATCAGGCCAGAATCCGCTGTCTAAAGAGAGGAATTTCGACCTACTGAGCTCCGAGAAGGTTTTCAAGATCAGAGGGGTCTGTATGGGTTTCTTCTTCTCGGGACTCAGAACTAGGATTTCGTCGGCTATGTAGAACTGTACTTTGGGTTTCGCTGGTTCGATCACGATATCTACTGTCTCTATCTCTGGCTCGCTTAATATACACTTCTCGAATTCTTCCTCGGTTTCTAGTTGCTGAATGGAGTCTAGCGTCATGGGGGACTCGATTTCGTCTAGCAGCCTTTCGATAGGCACCTGGTCGGGTTCTTGGATTATGCTTTCCAGTTCTTTCACGATTTCTGGATGTATCTCTTCGATTTCTTCCGTTGTTGCTTTCTCCTTCTCGAGTTTCATGGGTTCCTTTAGTATGTCCTTTGGAATCGCTACGATAGGTTTGATGGTTTCTTCGAGTTTTGTTTCGAGCGGAATTATTAGGTCTTTCTCGACTTCAGAGGGTCTGCCTAACGTTTGTTCCTCCATAGCTAGTAGCTCGGTTATCTTCATCTCGTCGTTCTTAAGAATATCTTCCAGGTGGTCTTTAGTTTTCTTCATTTTCGGTTTTTCTTCTTTCTTGATTTCTTCTTCTTCCGCAGAAAGGGCTTTTGGTATTTCTTCAGCCTTTTCTGCGACAGGAGGTATTGGACTTTCTTCAGTCCTCTGTGGACTATCGACTGTCTCTTGATCTTTCATAGAAGTTTCTTCTGGCTTTTCTTCTGACTTTTCTTCTGGCCTTACTTCTGCAACAATTTGCTCTTTATTAGTTTCCTCCATTTTCGGTTTTTCTTCTTTCGTGATTTCTTCTTCTTCTGTAGAAAGGGCTTTGGGATTTTCTTCAATATTTTCTGTGACAGGAGGTATTGGACTTTCTTCAGTCTTCTGTGTAACATCGATTGTCTCTTGGTCTTTGATAGAAGCTTCTTCTAGCTTCTCTTCTGGTTTTTCTTCTGCAACAATCTGCTCTGCAAGAACAGCTTCCTGCATTGTCATGTCTTCCATTTTGTCCTTAGTTTCCTTTATTTCAGGTTTCTCTTCTTTCGTGACTTCCTTTTCTACGGAATCTTCTACCCTTCCTTCATCTCTACTAGGTTGTTGCTCCGTCTTCTCTTCCGTGACAGTTTCTTCTTTAGAAACAATTTCCTGCTGTACTACATCTTGTCGTTTGTCTTTAGACTTCTTCGCTTCAGATTTTTCTTCTTTCGGAACCTTCCTTTCAGCAGAATGAGCTTTCGAATCTTCTATAGTCTTCTGTGAACTATCGATCTTTTCTTCTTGCTCTTTAGTCTGATCCGCTTTTTCTTCTATGGTAACCTGTTCTTTAAGTACAGCTTCCTGCTTCGTTGTATCCTTCTGTCGTTTATCTTTAGATTTCTTCGCCTTTGATTTTTCTTCTTTCTCAACTTTCTTCCCCGCAAGATGAGCTTTCGGCACTTCTTCGGTTATCTCCGGACTATCGAGCTCTTCTTCATCTTTCGCAGGTACCTGCTCTACCTTTTCTTCTACCTGTTCTTTAAGTACAGCTTCCTGCTTCGTTGTATCCTTCTGTCGTTTATCTTTAGATTTCTTCGCCTTTGATTTTTCTTCTTTCTCAACTTTCTTCCCCGCAAGATGAGCTTTCGGCACTTCTTCGGTTATCTCCGGACTATCGAGCTCTTCTTCATCTTTCGCAGGTACCTGCTCTACCTTTTCTTCTACCTGTTCCTTAAGAATAATTTCTTGCCCTGTTGTATCTTTCTGTCGTTTGTCTTTGGTCTTCTTCTGTTTAGATTTTCCATCTCTCGTAAATTCCTTTTCTGCAAGCTCAGGTTTCCAAATTTCTTCAATTTTCTCAGCATCAACGTTTTCTTTATCTTCGGTAGGTACCTGTTCTGATTTTTCCTCTTTGACGACTTGTTCCACGAGAATAGCTGTCCGCTCTGTCGTGTCCTTAGCTTCCTTCTCATCCTTCTTAATATCTTCAGTCACCAGATCTTCAGCAACCTCTAACTTTTTAAACTCCCTGTCTCCTTCTAACTTTTCTTCGTCTTCTATCTTCGAATCTTTCACTTGGTCGACCTTATCTTTCGCAACTTCAGTAGAAGAATCTTTGCTTAATATTTCAAAGTCTTTCTCAACCTTTAATTGCAACTCTTCAGCTGCAGATTTAGTTGCTGCTTCTTGCTCTTCGCGTTTAGCTTCCTTTGCCTGTTTGCCCTTGCGTTTTGATTTTTCTTTGGAAGCTGCCGTTGGTTCTTTCTGTTTAACATCTTTTGTCTTCTTAGGTGGTAGTACCTTAGGTGTTTCTGCTATTTCTTCAGCAATAGTTTTCGTTTCTGTCAGGATTTCTTCCTTTTCTTCAGTCGTTTCCGGTAACTTGGCTCTCTCTTCGCTCTCTCTTCGGAGTACAATCTCTGGAGCAAGTTTTATTTCATCGGTAACTGCTTCGGGACCGATTGCAACCAATTTTTCAGCTTCCTTCGTACTCTCAGTAGTCACCTCGACTTTCTTCTCCTTCGGTTTCATTTCTTTCTTAGTTGCTGCTTTAAGTACAGTCTCCGGAGCAAGTTTTATCTCGGTAATTACTTCAGAACTGATTAGGTTCAATTTTTCAGCTTCTTTTGCACTTTCGGTAGTCATTTCGATTTTATCTTCGCTTGGTTTTATCTCTTCCTTGAGTACTGCTGCTTCAGGCACAGTTTCTGATGCAAGCTTAATTTCTTCAGTCACTTCAGAAATAGTTACGTTCAATTCTTCAATTTCTTTGGATTTTTCACCGACTTTTATTTGCTGTTTAATTTCATCAGACGTGATGGTCTCTGTAGGTTCTATTGACTTTATTTCTTCCGGGGTTGTGACTGTTGTATCTATTTCTTCCTTCTTCTCAGAAGACATCGCTTCCGGTTTCTCGTCTTTCAATTTCTCTCGTTCTTCAGTGGCTGTTCGTGCAGCTGACTTTTCTCTCTTCTTCTGCTTTCGTTTTTCTTTCTTCAAAAGCTTCGATTTTCCTTTTTCTTCACTGTCTGTTTCTTCTGGCTTGCTTTCCAAAATCGTTTCTTCGACAGGTGTTTGCGGAGACACAGGTGCTTCTTCTTTCTCACTTACTGTTATTATCTCTTCTTTCTTCTCTTCACTGATATTCACTATAGTACAGACAGTATCATCTGTTACACTTGATAATTCTTCTTTTACTTTATCCGTTTGTATCTCTTCTTTGATTTCAGGTTCGGCCATTTTCTTCTCACTTACTGGCGTTTCAGTGACCTGACTCGGTGCGACATCTACTTTCTTCTCCTTAGATTTCCTTTTGCGTTTCTCCATTGATTTCTCACGTTTCTTCTCTTGAATGAGCACAGGTTTTATAGCAACCTCAGACTCGGTAGATTTAGTATCTCTTCCTTTTTCTTCCTCGACTTCTTTGATTTCAATAGATTCTAGTTTCGTCGTCATTTCTTCTATCGGTTGCTCTTCCAGTTCCGAAGTTAGAGTGGCATCCATCTTGGTTTCAGTTTCTTCCTTAGGCTGTTCTTTCTCCGCTTTTCCTTTCTTCGACTTCTTATTCTTCCTCGAACCACTCGCAGATTGTTCCTTTGTTTCATCTTTCATTGTCTTAGGATTCTTTCTATCTGTCTGCATTATTTTATTTTCTTCTAAAGTCTCAGGCTTAACAACTAGTGTTTCTTCTTTCTCTTCTTTCACCTTTTCCTCTAACTTCTCTTCCACTTTCTCATCAGGAAGTGATGCTTCTTTAGTCTCGACTGTACCAACTTCCTTCATCTTCGATTTACCTTTGCCCTTGTCTTTCTTCTCTGCCTGTTTCTGCGTCTTCTGTTCAGCCACCTGTTCCACCGTCTCTTCTTCAACTTCCTTCACATCCGCTGCTTCCTCAACTTCACCTGTCTTCGTTTTACCCTTTTCCTTCTGAGCTTTCTCCTTGCGTTTCTCTTTCTTAGACTTTTCTTCCTTTCCTTTTCCTGTCTCCTTCTTCCTCTGCTCGTCTACTTTCTGCGCGCTTTCCTTCTTCTGCTCCTCCGCCAGGATTTCTTCGGGATTCACAGGCTTGTCACTCGACTGCTTCGAGGACTCGTCCCGTCTGACGCTTCTGGAGCGCGATCTGGATCGCCTGGATCGCAGTTCCTTCTTGTTCACGAACTCTATGAAGCCTTGCTCGTCTATCTGAACCACCTCCTCGATAGGCACCGGTTCTGGAGTTTCCTCCACGTAGATCTGCACTTGAGGATGCTGCTCAATGGGTTGTTCTTTCTTCGCAGAGACCTTCTCGTTCGTTGGCGATGCTTCCATCTGCTCGACACCCTTGCCGACTATGGCAGCCCACGAGTCCTTGGACGCCTTCTGAGGAGTCCCTGGCTCCGTCACTAGCGGACTAGCAAATGCAGAAGAGATTTCTTCCACCACTGCTTCGTTCTCGATCTCTTCCACCCATGACACCGGTTCTAGTTTGAGCATGTCTTTATCCAGACTCTCTTCATCGGGCTTCTTATCCGTCGTTTCTTCAGACTTTGGTATTTCTTCTTCAATTTTCGAAGCTTTATGACACCGGTTCTAGTTTGAGCATGTCTTTATCCAGACTCTCTTCATCGGGCTTCTTATCCGTTGTTTCTTCAGACTTTGGTATTTCTTCTTCAATTTTCGAAGCTCCCGTGATCTCTAACGCTTTTTCTTCTGCAATCTCTTTATCTTCGATCACTTTGTCTAAGTTGACGTCAGCAACTAGAGGAATTGGTTTGAGGATTACTGTCTCTTCCTGATTCAATTGCGGAGATGTTCGTTTAGAGGCTGCCACCTGAACGTACGATTTGTTCGACTCCTTGCCAGCCTCTGGGGATTCTTCAATTTTCTTCAGTTCCTCGGAAATGATTGTCTTCGGAGATTCTTTGTCAGTGGTTTCTACGTCAATGGAAGACACCTTGGTTTCCATATTAGTCTTCTCTTGCTTAGCATCTTTCTTCTTCTGCTGTTTCGTCGGCTTCTGTTGTGCCGATGGACTCTGTGGTTTCTCAGACACGGGTTCCATCGTTTGCTCGATTTTCTCTGATTTTGGTGATTCCATCGCTGGTTCTTGAGGAGTTAATTTCGTGGTTTGCGAGTTTTCTGCTGGGAGATTGGTTGGTTCGGTGGTTCCTTTCATGCCCACAACGGAGGCCCACGATTTGGGACCCACGGATGGTTGGATATCTTCTTTGGGTATTTCTTTAACTTCTGGCTGAGTTTCTTCCGCTTTGTCGTCCTCTGGAGCAACCTCGATCGTAGTTTCTTGGAGAGCCGAGGCTGTCGCTTCGTTCATTTTCTTCAGTTTCTTGTCACGTTTCTTCTTTGAGTCTGGAGAACCGATTTCTTGTTTATCCTTTTCTTGTTTCGTTGGTTCCTGCTCTGGCGTAGATTTTGTTTTGGTCTCGAGTTTTTCCTTCCACTGTTTCTGTTTCCCTGATTTCGTTGGACTCTTTGCTTCTTCTTTCGTGGGCTTCTCGGCAGGTTTATCGTTTGCTTCTTTCATCGGAGATTGAATCGCGTGGAAGTCTATAATTTCGGCTTCTTTTTCCTCGAATATTTCCTCGGGTAATTTACCATTTATTAATTTCTCTGTTTCGTCTGTGATAGTGAGAGATTCTTGAGACAAGAGTTCCACGATCTCGTTTGCGCTTGATTGTTTCTTTCTGCTTGTTTCTTTGAGATCCTCCTTTTTCTTTGATTCTTTCGAGACTTTCTTCTTCTCGGAAGCAGGTTTTTGTTCAGGCAAAACCTGAAGTAGACTGTCTGAAGTAGATTTTTCTTTCGTTTCCTCTTGTCTGGGTTGTTTCTTCTTGCCTTTGCCAAACTTGGTTATCTCTGCTGGTTTTTCTGATTCTGGAGATTGGATTTCAGCCTTCGTTTCTTCCTCGACTTCAGGTTTTATTTCTTCTTTGATCTTAGGCTCCGCTTCTTCTTTGAGTTTAGGCTTCGTTTCTTTTTCGACTTTAGATTTCGCCTCTTTTCCAGGTTTAGACTTTGCTTTTTCCGTGGCTTTAGGTTTTACTCCTTTTTCGAGCTTAGGTTTTACTTCTTCTTCGACTTTAGATTTTATTTCTTCTTTCATTTCAGGGTGTACAACTTCCTCCACTTTTGATTCTGTTGTTTCTTCGACTTTGGATTCTATTGCTTCTTCGACTTCAGGTTTCGTCTCTTCAATTTCAACCTTTATTTCTTCTTTAATTTTACACTCTATCGTTTCTTCAGCTTTAGGTTGTATTTCTTCTTCGACTTTAGGTTGTATTATTTCTTCGATTTTCTGCTGTATTTCTTCCTCTATTTTAGGTTCTACTATTTCTTCAACTTTAGGTTGTATTTCTTCTTCGACTTTAGGTTGTATTACTTCTTCGACTCTAGGTTGTATTACTTCTTCGACTTCAAGTTTTGCTTCTTTCTGAATCTCAGATTTTACTTCTTCTTCGACTTTAGGTTCTTTTACTTCTTCGAGCTTAGGTTTCTCTTCGACTTTAGGTTGTATCAATGTTTCTTTTGGTGCAACTTCCTTCTCTATCTTCTCAGTTCCTTTTTCAGAAATCTCAAGAATCTCCTTAGCTTTTTCCTTCTTAGCCTTAGCCTTCTCAGCTTTCGACTGCTTTTCCTTCTTCGATTTTTCCATTTTCGATTTTTTATTCGATACTTGTTCTTCCGTTTTCTTACTTTCAAGCTTCTTCTCCTCTTTCTTTTCTCCCACATTTTCCGCCATCATATTTTGTTCCGCCCTCTCTTTCTTTATCGTATTAAGCTGCCTATTCACGTCTTCGATAAGGGCTGCGGTTTGAATCAAAATCTCCGTCGAATTAATTTCAGTGGCGACTCCTGCAATGGATTTTACAGTGTCTTCTTCGATACTACTTTCCAAAGCTGGTTTAACTTCTTCCAAGCTCGTTGGTAATCTTTCCTCTACGCAAATTTGTTCCGTTTCCTTTACAGCTTCGACACTTGTCGGTTTAAGTTCTTCCAGAGGAACAGGTGTAATTTCTTTCTGTTTAAGCTGCTTAGACTTCACCCATTCAGTTTCGAAGTCGTAGAACCTCGTAATAGGATACTTCAAAGTTTCGTTCAGAAGTGCAAGCTTCCTGCGTTCGGATTCAGATAGCGTTACTTCTTCCGGTTTCTTCTTTTCTGCTTTAGTCTCCTTTATGGCAGAATCTTCAACAATTGTTTCTTCTAGCTTCTTTTCTTCTTCTTTAGGCTCTTTCATAATTAATTCTAAAAGAATTATTTCTTTCGGGTTCACTTCTTCTTCTTTAGGCTCTTTCACAATTGGTTCTTCAAGAATTATTTCTTTCGGGTTCGCTTCTTCTTCTTTAGGTCCCTTCATAATCGGTTCTTCAATAATTATTTGTTCTAGTTTCTTTTCTTCTTCTTTAGAGTCCTTTATAGCCGGTTCTTCGACACTTCTTTCTTCTGGTTTCTTTTCTTCCTCTTTTCGTTCTTCCATGACCGATTCTTCAACGATTCTTTCTTTCGGGTTCACTTCTCTTTCTTTTGTTTCCTTCATAATCGATTCTTTCACAATTCTTTCCATACTCTCCGGCCTTGCAGGCGTGGAAACGACTACGTTCTCTTCCACCACTTTCACTATCTTGAAACGACGGTGGAAGTTCACTTCAGCCTCCAAGTAAGCACGACGATTCACCCAATAGGGTTGAATCAAGTCTCTGTAATACGAAATCACATCTTTAGCTTTTGACTTAGAATCTTCAACTTTAGCAGGAACATTTATTTCACTTTCAGAGTTAGTTACACTTTCTTCAACCAGGGCTGCTTTATCTTCGACTTTCTTCGATTTTGACTTAGACTTTTCCACTTTAACAGGAACATTTGTTTCTTTCGCAGAGTCATCTATCTTTTCTTCCATCACAGGTGGTTTAGTTTCAACTTCTTTCGTCTCTGGTTTAGATTCTTCTACTGAAATAGGAACGTCTTCTGGTTTCTCAGAGACAGGCGTCTTTTCTTCAGTCAGAGTTGTAACATTTTCAACTTCTTTCGTTTCCAGTTTAGTTGCTTCAACTGGAACAGGAACTTCTTCTTGTCTTTCAGAGGTTGATACTACCGTTTCTTCAACCAGAGTTGCGATACTTTCAACTTTTGATTGGGACTCTTCAACTGTAACAGGAACTTCTTGTTTCTCAGAGACAGGTGTCTTTTCTTCAACCAGAACTCCTTTACTTTCAATTTCTTTCACTTCTGGCTGAGAATCTTCAACTGTAACAGGAATTGTTGCTTGTTTTTCAGAGACAGAGGTCTTTTCTTCAACCAAAGGTGGTTCACTTTCAACTTCTTTTATTTCTAGTTTGGAATCTTCAACCTTAACAGGAACACTAACTTGTTCTTCAGAGACAGGTGTCTTTTCTTCAACCAAAGGTGTTTTACTATCAACTTCTTTGGTTACTAGTTTAGAATCTTCAACTTTAATAGGAATATTTAATTTTGCTTCAGAGACAGGTGTCTTTTCTTCTACCAAAGGTGTTTGACTGTCAACTTCTTTGATTTCTAGTTTGAAATCTTCAACTTTAATAGGAATATCTAATTTTTCTTCAACCAAACGTGTTTGACTGTCAACTTCTTTGATTTCTAGTTTAAAATCTTCAACTTTAATAGGAATATCTAATTTTTCTTCAACCAAAGGTGTTTGACTGTCAACTTCTTTGATTTCTAGTTTAAAATCTTCAACTTTAGCAGGAATATCTAATTTTTCTTCAACCAAAGGTGTTTGACTGTCAACTTCTTCGATTTCTAGTTTAAAATCTTCAACTTTAGCAGGAATATCTAATTTTCCTTCAACCAAAGGTGTTTGACTGTCAACTTCTTTGATTTCTAGTTTAAAGTCTTCAACTATAGCAGGAATATCTAATTTTTCTTCAACCAAAGGTGTTTGACTGTCAACTTCTTCGATTTCTAGTTTAAAATCTTCAACTTTAGCAGGAATATCTAATTTTTCTTCAACCAAAGGTGTTTGACTGTCAACTTCTTTGATTTCTAGTTTGAAATCTTCAACTTTAGCAGGAATATTTAATTGTTCTTCAGAGACAGGTGTCTTTTCTTCAACTGATGGTGTTTTACTGTCAACTTCTTTGATTCCCAGTTTGAAGTCTTCAACTTTAGCAGGAATATCTAACTGTTCTTCAGAGGCAGGCGTTTTTCCTTCAACTGATGGTATTTTACTGTCAACTTCTTTAATTTCTAGTTTAATATTCTCAACTTTAGCAGAAATGTCTAATTTCTCTTCAGAGTCAGCTACCTTCACTACCCCTAGATTTGTTTCAATTTCAGCTTCTCTAACATCAACCTTCGAATCCTCAACCTTACCAGAAACTTGCTTTTCAAAATCAATTACCTTTTCTTCAACTGGAATTGCTTCGCTCTCAATTTCCAGCAGCTGTACCACTCTCCTCTCCTCTCCCTGTCTAAGAATGGCAGACCACTCTTCCACTTCTCTTTCACTCGGCGCTTGCCTATTATCCGCGACTTTACTTTCTCCCACTAACCCATTCGCATCTTTATCTCCCTGAACCTTAACTTCCTGCGAACCATCGACTTCCTCTCTAGACGTGATCCTACTCTCCTCGACCTTACCTTCCACTTTGTCCAATTTACCCTGCGAAACCTTTTCTCCCTTCGCCTTCTCTAACATTCCCATCTCGCATTCGTCTTTCACGTTTCCTACAGCTCTCGCCGACGAGGGAGTCCCGGCGCGACCTCTCTTCCTATCCTGAACGCTACCAAAGAGAACCGGCTCATCGTGCTCACCGAGACCCTCGATATACACCGCGTAATCCGAATTCGGCTGCCTACACTCGGCTAAAGTCTCTAACAACGCTCTCGAGGGGACACCGATGCTCGAATCGTCCGCTACCCTAGCATATCTGGTGGTCAGGCTAGCCTCTACCGTTTCAGGACGCAGGGTGATTAGTTCGGTGGGTTTGGAGCCTACGATCTTGGGTATGGGGATGCTTTCTAAGATCTCTACGGATTTCGTAGATGTCACGTTCGGTGGCTTCACTTGGACAAACCCGGGCATGCTGGTGGTGGTAGTCACCGTGGTCACCGTCTTTTCGATTATCAACGCTTTGCCTGCTGCCGTCGAAGGTGGCGCTTCGATCGGCGAACCCGTGTCAGAAACGTTTAACACTTCTTCACTCTTTGACACGTCTTCCTCTGTGCTCGGTCGTTCGAGCAGGCCCTGTGACGGAGCTAACGATTCGTCGGGTGTTTGGGTTCCTTCGGGTGGTTTAGTGGAATCTTTTTCAGGCTCTGTTAATGGAGTTTCAGGTATTAATGGCGGTTCTTTTGGTTCGGCGGATTGTCCAGCTTCCACCTTAACTGTCTCGGTTTTAGCTGGTTCTTTCATTGGTTTCGTGTCAGTGTCGGGTTTTTCGGTGAGTGTCTTTGGTCCTGTCTGTGCAGCTCCTACTGTGCCTTTGTCTTTCGACTCTTGTTTCTTCTTCTTCTTCTTGTCAGACTTCGGTGTGTTCGTTTGACCGGGTTTAGACTCTTGCTTGGACTCTACTGTGGTGAACGGTGGTATCTTTTCCTTCGATTTGCTGGCTTTCTTCGACTTGGACGGTGTCTCTGCAGCTTCGACCTTTGGCTCTGGTTCTTGGACCTCGGGATCTTGGGTCTCGGTCTTTAGGGGAGCTGCAGGAAGAGAAGATTCTGTATCCTTCTTCGCGTCAGTGGTCTCAACCTTTTCGGAGACTTTCCACTCTTCTGGAATCTCTTCTTTGCCCGTGTCTGTGGATATTTCGACGCTTTCTGTAGATTTTTTGATTGTCAGTTCGGATATATTTTCTGATATATTTTCTGTATCAGGATGAGCTTCAGGTTTGTCTGCTACGTTAAGGATGATATTCTCTTCTTCCTTTTCTTCAGTTTGCAGTACACTGATTTCTTCCTTAATCTCGGTAATTACTTGTTTCGTTTCTTCCAACATTATTTGTCCGGCTCTGTCAATCGTGTCAACCTTTTCTTCCGATTTAATCGTTACTTCTTGTTCAATTATTTCTTCCTTCTCCGGTTTCTCTTTCTCTTCCATTGGCATTGCTGGTTTCAAACTTTCTTCTTTCCGCTCTTTCTTCGGGGATTTAGACTTCTTGCGCTTTTTCTTCTCCGACTGCAGCGTAGTTGACACGACAGGTTCGGATTTCGAGTATTCCTGCCTCGGTTCTTCCACAACAGCCTTCTCGCTATTTACCGATTCTTTCCTAACAACTGATTCATCGACAGGCCTCTTGTCTTCTTTCTTGGAAGCTTCTGTTATTTCAGACGTCTGTTGTCTGGCATCCGCTTCTTTTTTAGACTTCTTTCCACCTTTCCTCGTCTGTTTCTCCGACTCAGCTGCTCTCCTCTTCTCCTCTCTCGGCGCAGAATCTTTCCTCGAATCTGCGCCGTCGACCACTTTCTTCTCCACGGATTTATCCTGCCTTCTCTCGCGTTTATCTCTCGCTTCTTCTTTCGTTGTACTTTCCTCCAACGTGTTCGACTTCGTGGATATATTTTCTACGAATTTCGCGACTTCGCTGGTCTCCATCGCGGACTCTATCGCGCGATCTAGCGCGCTGATTACAGCCTTCTGCTCCTCCTCGATGTCCAGTTTCTGTGGCACTTCCGGTTTCGCGTCTTCCTTCTTATATTCCTTCATTTCCTCCTTCTTCCCTTTTTCTTTGCCACTCGTTTTAATTCTATCTTTGCTATCTTTAGATGGTCTTGCATCGGTCTCAGTTTTAATCTCTTCTTTCTCGTCTAATTTTGTATTTTTCATTGCCTCTGATCTATCGTCAGGTTTCTTCTGCTTCGATTGATCTACCTTTTTCTCCTCTCTCTGTTGACTCTGTTTCCTAGGCTTCTGGTCTTTTACAGTATCTAGTCTTTCTGGTACGTTCTCTTGTCTTTGCTTCCTTCCCTTTTTCGATTTTTCGTGCTCCTTTGATCTCGAGTCTTTTTCCTTCGACTCGCTTCGGGATTTGTCTTTCGATTCCGTTAAGACTGGTTTATCTTCGGGTGTTTTCTCCGACCTTATTGGCTCCTTAGAGTGCTCTACATTTTCAACGGCTTTCACTGTCACGGGTTTAACGATCTTCTCTGTTTGAATTTCAGGTTTGTCCTCGAGGGGCTTTTTAATTTGCTCAGCTTCGTGTTCAATCTTCGGTGGTTTCGCGTTGTCCCTGGCAGCTTTCTCTTTAGCTACGCCAGACTGCTCCTTGCCCTTGTGTTTCTTCCTCGAGGCAGGTTCCTTCTGAGGCTTATCCTCCTTCGCATCGAGCTTCTTCGTTTCACTGGAGGAATCGAGCTTGCTTTCAGACGCTTTCTCTTGCTCGATCTTGCGAGAATCAGTCTTTGTTTCTTTCTCCTTCTCTTTCTTGGTGTCGTCCTTCTTCCTCTCGGAGTCCTTCTCGTCTTTGCTCTGTTCTCTCGCGTTCTGACGAGTCACGGAAGCCTCGGAGTCGTCTCTAACCTTCTCCAGCTTAGACTTGCCTTGCTTCTCTCTTTCACCGGGTCTCACGTTTCTCCTCTCGCTCTCTTCCTTCGTCTTCTCTGGCGTTGGTTGAGCCACGTTTCTGATCTTAGCCTGTTCCTTGGACTTGTCCCTCTTTTTCTGCTTGTCCATGTCCTCGATCTCCTTCAGAGCCTTGTCTATCTCGTCGTCCATCGTCTTCTCGACCTTCTTCTTCTTTCCCTTTCGTTTCTTCTCTTGAGAGCTGCTTCTCTGCACGACCTCAGCCTCTCTTCCCTCGTCGACCTCTCTCTCCTCTTGCTTCTGAGTCTCAGCTCTCTTCGGCTTCTCGACCTCGGCTACCTTCTCTGGTTCCGCCTTTTCCTTTCGAGTCTCAGCCTCGTTGCTCTTCTGAGGCATCTTGGGAAGAACTGTCTCTTCTATGGCGATTTCGTCCTTGGTCTCGAATATTGGTCTCTGCTGATCCGCGTTGACTCTGAACTTCTCCTTCTGATGTCTATCTCTGGGCTGCTCCGATCTACGAGCTCTCTTCTCCGGAATCCTCGATTTCGGCGCATCCTGGTGAGTTTTCCTGGCCTCCCTCTTCTTAGACATGTCCCACGCGCTTTCCTGTTTACCAATCGACGACTCTCGGGTCTGTCTCGTTTCTTGAGATGGACTCGTTTCGTGGACGGAGGACGTGGTCGAGTTCACCGGTGAATAGGATCGTTCTTTCACCTCTTTCGAGGTTAACGTCGTCGTCGTTGGGGTATAGCTACTGACAGTCGTTATCGGCTTGGCAGTTAGACCCTGGGACAGGATCTGAGCATAGGAGAACGCCTTGCTCTCGCTGGATGTACCGCTCTTTTGCTTAACCGGGGTGCTCTCTGAGCTCGATGGAGTCTGCTGTATGGATTGTTGTACAGGTTGTTGTACAGGTTGCTGTATGGGTTGTTGAATAGGTTGTTGAGTAGGTTGTTGAGTAGGTTGTTCGACAGATTGTTGAGTGGGCTGTTGAATGGGCTGTTGGGCAGGTTGTTGCATGGTCTGTTCCTGTTCCACTGGTTTGTCTGGTTCGGTAACTTCCACTGGTTGAACAGGAGACTGAACAGCGGGTTGAACAGCAGGTTGAACATTGGACTGAACAGTAGTCTGAACAGTGGTCTGGACGTCGGCAGGCAGAGCAGCTCTGTTGGGCAAGCATTTCTCTTCGACGTTCTGTACAACCACTGGCGCGTTCTTTGGCGGGGTCTTGAATTTCGACTGATGCGAGTGCCTCTGCGATGGCTTCTGCAGCTGACTCTGCTGATAGATCTCTGGTTCAGGGATGTAATTAGGCTGTGTCACGAATTGTTCCGTGGGAAACGTTATCTGACTGTCCGGGTAATGAGGTAGAGCTATCTGCTGAGGCGGCGCAGCAGGCATGTAGACGTAGGAGCCCACTGGGTACGCGATTTGGGACCCAATGAATCCCACCAGCTCGGGAATAGGCGGGTGTATGTAATTGTAGACCTCTGGAACCTGCTGCGGTTGCCTCGAGACTTTATCGTAATTCTTCTCGTTCATCAGAACGTAATCTTCCATGTTCTCGTCTGCCCAGCTGGTCTGAGTTTCGGGCGTCTTCTCTGGCGTTTCCACGATGGGAGACACGACTTGGGACTCGACTTCGGGCGCAACCTCTGCAGCAGGCTGTTGATAGTCCTCTGCTTTGCTTTCCAGTTCTTTACTCGGTTCTTCCACGGAAGCTTCCTGTGCTTCTGCCTGCTCCTCCACTTCCACTCTAGGTACACTGAAGTCTAGCTTGTCCGACTGAGTCGTCTCAGCCGAGGACTCCTCGACCACTGTCTCCCTGATCTCTCTACCCACCATGTGAGCCCCTTTGCCAGTCTCCACCGAAGGACTGCGAGAATTCTGTCTGTTTCCGCGAAGAATATCCGCGTAGGAAGTGGAACCTGGCGCCCATATAGGGCTAGCCGATCTCCCTCTCCTCTCCACCTTGGGAGCCAGCGTGTTCTTAAGAACCAGCGGTTCCCTTCTGTGTTCCAGCGACCTGTGAACATCCGACACTCCACTCTCACCCTCCACAGACGAGTTTCTCTCCGAGGAGTCTCCGACTGACTCCGCGATATCCTTCCTAACGGAAGCAGCCCTTCTCGACTGAGTCCTCAGTCTGGAGTCCACGGAATCCACCTTGGACACGTGTCTCCTAGCCTCCACTCTAGGCTCTGGCTCCTTCTGTTCGATCTGCTCTTCGATCCTATTTTGATCATCTTTGCTTCTCTCTACTTTGCTAGTTTCTGCTCTGCCAACTTCCGCTCTGCCAATTTCCGTTCTACCAGTATCCAATCTACCGGTCTCCACTCTGCCAATTTCCGTTCTACCAGTATCCAATCTACCGGTCTCCACTCTGCCAATTTCCGTTCTACCAGTATCCAATCTACCAGTCTCCACTCTGCCACTTTCCACTCTGGCAGCTTCTACTCTGCCACTTTCCACTCTGATAGCTTCCACTCTGGCAGCTTCCACTCTGCCACTTTCCACTCTGGTAGCTTCCGCTCTGCCAGATTCCACTTTGCCAGCTTCCACTCTGGCAGACTCCACTCTGCTAGCTTCCACTCTGCCAGTTTCCGCTCTCGTGTTCGGCGGAGTGTCATCGCGAACCGGTTCGACGACAGGTTTCGGCGCTTCCGCGGGTCTGGAGAATTGCGCGGTGGGTCTGAGCACCTGAATGGACAGAGGCGTGGGCACAGCCTCGTCGCGGGGGTTTCTAAACGGGCTGGAACCCCTCGAGCTCGGACTGGTGCGACCTGCGGCGATGTCCGCGTACGAGACCTGATTGACGAGCCTAGTCTCGTTGCTCTGTACATAGTACGGGTCCACGGCGTATATTTCATCCAGCACTGTCTTCACGCGCTGCCTCCAATCGTCCATCCTTTGCTGCAGGCTCTGCGTTATCCGCCACGGAGGAACAGCCAAGGCACAACAATGGAATACACATACGTCAATTTTTTCTGGGAGTTTTCTTTTGTGTTTTGTTTTGTTTGTTTGTTTTGTGGTTCAGGGTGAGAGAAAAAAAGAAAGATATGTATAAGAGACGTTAACTCGGGTGGAAACGGGGAATCGGGTGGTTGTGGTCAGGGGCGTCTAAGGGCGTCGGAAGAATTCTATTCCGTCGGAGAGTTTTTAGTATATGCGTATGTATGCCTGATTATGATCGGCGATGGTGTGGCTCGCGAAGAAACACACGTTCTTTTGCAACAAAGAGGGCTCTTTATTCTTTCGTTTTAAGACAGTATACTGTTGGTTCTCTCTCTATATATATATATACTTTTTTTTTTTTTCATTGTTTTTCTTTTAATACGAACGCAAGTCTGCTCTCTATGCCTGGACGCACAACACGTTTAGGAAAATGTTCTCTCGATATAGCATAATATAGACAATATACGTGTACATACATACATTTATAAAGTTCTCTAAAAAAGATCCTGAGGTATTAAAAATCGGTCGGTCTCCATTCGCGGACGAGGACGAACGTCGATAACGGACAGACGGCCGAGGGATTCCCCGTGCCGGTCGAATCCTCCGCCATTTTGCCGCCCATCGGCGTCCACCTCGCCTCGGATGGAACGCACGGAACTGCACCGGGTGAGAAAAGAAACGAACGCGAGGAACGACACTATGGTTGCCACAACGTGACCACGTAGAATCGCGCAGAGTCGTGCGACGAACTCGATCGTCTCTGACCGACTAGACCGGTCACGGATCCAACGGTTCCGGGTCTGGCCGGCCGCGTTGCACGAGGATCTTCGACCTCTCTGTACGCGCCTGGATTTTGCTCTGCAACGACTTGATCTTCTCGCGACAGATCTGATCGAGCGACCGGCAAAGCGAGTCGGCAGAGGGAATAACAACGCGCCGAGCGATCGAGCGAGATGGACCAAGATCGTGAACGAAATTTCGATCGAGGGAGGAGAGAGACAGAGATCCGAGAAACCAAATAAATTCAGGGCCGGAGAACGAGAGGGGGAAAGAGGAGGAGAACCGGAAGACGACGATGGCGAAGCAGAAACGACGATCGAGACGAAGAAAGAAGGCGAGTGTGGGTGGTATTTTTTGGTGAATCGGAGGGGGGGTTCGTATTTTTTGGTTTTTTTTTTTTTTCAAAGGAAAGGCGGGAACGGGTACAGCAAACAAAATTTCGTAAATCAAATAGCCGGTGCGATGGATTAAAGACGAGTTAAAGTAAAAGAACACAACGTGAAGTTAAGTGAGAAAGAAAGAGAAAAATAAAAGAATGTCAGATGCGAAAGAAACGAACTGTGAGAGAAATTATTCAGGTAAATCGAATAGTCTTTCGGAGCGTTCACTCGTGCTCAGTTCTCACGAGTCTCGACGCGCGACGTGGAGGTCACTTGATTTTCTTGCGTATCTTCCGGTTCCGCGTTCGATCGTCGCGATCGCTTCCGACGTTTTCGCCATTCGGACGATTACCTCGAGCTACCTCGCGAGCACGGACACGAGAAAGCCTGCGATGTACGGAGATGACAGAATTCTCTCTCGTGTGTGTACGCGTGTGTGTGTCGAACGAAACGACTCGTTCGATTTTTCACACGCGATGCGATAAATTGCGACAACGATATTCGTGCGACTACTGCGATCTTCGTCGTCTCTTCGTACTCGTTCGTCGCTAGTACAGAGACGCGACGCCAGGCGGCGCCAGCTGCGGGAGACACGGAACTGCGTACTCGTAACACGCATTTGTACAGACACTATATAGACAAGTGAGAGACGGCGAGAAATGAAACAAGAAAATTAAGATAGAACACGTGACTTACACAAAGAAAAGAAAAAAACAAGCAAAATCAAGTAAACCCCATCACGGAACAACATATATGGGTGTGTATTTAAGAGTCGGTGATGTATACACGGAGATGAGAGAATAAAGAGAGACAGTCGAGTAGACGCGGAGACGTGCGTGAACAGTGATGTATGATCGATTGATCTCTCGTTACAAAGAGAACAGGTGAGGTAAAAACCTTAGTCAAGAGCATGATACCAACCAATACCGCGTAACAGATGTACCACCATGACGAATAGCATGCTCGCGCGGCCGCGATCGCGATCGTTCGATCGCCATGATCGCGAACGAACGATCGAGTTTATTCCGCAAATTCGATGAATCCGAGATCAATTTTATTTTATCGCAATCTTGGAAGCAGCGTGATAGAGTAGATTCAGAAAGAAGGAGGAAAAGAGAGAAAGACAGAGAGAGATAGAGAAGTAAGAGGTGCTCGGCGATCGTTATCGTTTCTGTTATTACGACGTCGTTAAAATAGAAATGGTAAACCGTTAAGCGTAACTTGGGAAAGGGTACGAGGATAATTAGAACGACGCGATAGCGTTTATGAAAGAGAGGTTAGAACGAGGGCGGGAGAAATGGATTTCAACGGAAACACCTTGATTCGTAAATCATAACGGTAAAATGGCGACCTCTGTCTCCCGGATAGAAATTCCCAACAGTGGATCATCAAAATGTTTCCAGTTCTGATTAGCGTGTTACGAATCTCCGTTGGCCACTTTCGTTGCCAACGAAAATTTCGCTCGTACCTGACACGGTCAGGGATTAATTTGGCTCGATCGACGGTTAATTGTTAGTCACTTGAGAAATTACGGAGAGCAGGCATGGTGTGACGAGAGCAGATGGCAGAGAAATTCGCGTTCATCCGCGGGAAGTTACCCCCGACCACGAGCGTGTACGACTCGAACGAATGTTACAGATCGGTTGAAGGGGGAAACCGAGATACGCGATTATATCCTGGTGGTGGTCTTCAGTTGGTATCGAGCAGATGCAAAAATCAACTTGCTGCTTTAGCGCAATTGTGCAGGTGGTAAAAAGGTGGGATCAAGGCAAACCTACCTGTTGCTCCTGCAACGCCTTCTCCTTGTCGGTGGACAGGTACGTCGGGCTCAGCACTGTCCTCAGTTGCTGCTCCACCTGCATAATCTGTTGCCTCATCTGTTGTATCTCCTAGAACGACAAGCAGACGTCAGCCGTATTCCCCTGAAAATCAACCAATGGATTGCTGATCCCTTTCACTTCTATGAAAACAATCGAGATGGCCTCGTAAATGGTACGCGCGACTCGTTCCTCTGCGATCTCTACTTTTCTGTACGAGGATCATCGATGCACTTGCAAAGTGGAATAACGAAGCATAACAGTTGATCGAAAGAACGAATACGCCGCTGAGATTCAAGAATGCACCCTCGAAGGGCAATCGCAGATCTGGGAAGTGCACGTGGCACACCTGCAAAGTACGATAGTTTGCCGATAATTATGCACGTACTTATGCAAAGTAGAACAGAATGCAGGCGAGACGCATCGTAGACCGATAAACAACGGCGCTACGTGGATAAAGTGCCCAGACGCTTTTCATAATCGTGACAACGAGGCTGTAAAATGCAATTGCACCTTTGCAGCGAAAGGAAAAACAAGGGATGCGTTTCGTCCCTTCCAGTACAACCGTTAGACACCCTTTTTCCAATCGATCGCTCGTGAAAAAAGCGAAATAAGAGAGAATCAAGCGACGTCAGACCCTCCAGGCCACCCGCCATTGTCTCGCGAGAGTTATTCCATGCTAGTTCCATCGAAAGAAACTTTCGCGTTTTAACCGGATCAGCAATCTCTTTTCAAAAGAATACAGCTCTATGTCAGGAGCCACCTGACCTGTTGATATTGATCAATCTGAGCTAAACAAGCTTCTAACGCCGTGGTCTGTTCTTTCACGTTGCCGTGGAGGCTGTCTAGCTCGGCCAACAGCTCGTCAACCGTTTCCCCGATTCGACTATCGCCACCGATCCCGGACCGGAAGTGCACCTGAAGCTTCTCCATCGAGATGCTGATTTTCGTTTTCTGTATCGCGATATCGCTCAGCATTTTCTCCCGTATGCTGTGCTGATCTCGCAACGGTTTCTTTTTGTTCTGCGGCGACTCGAGGCTCTGTTTCGCTTTCTCGATCCACGTTTTCACTTCCTTCATCTTTCGCTCGCACTGCTCCCATTCCTCGCTAGTCTCTTGCAGCAGCGCGTTCTGAAACGAATATTTCGAACGGTGTTCATCTTACGCACGTCTGTAGCCCTAAACGATTGGAAAATCTGACGAAATCGTCGAAAGATCGAAAACCAACCCTTTCCAACAGTTGACCCTCTACTTGCACCTTAGCTTCCTCCGCTTCGAGCAGTTTCTCGGGCAAGTCGCCCACGCTGCACACCTGACCGATACTCTCGAGCTCCTTACCCATGTCGCTGAGATTCTTGTTGATCTGTTTGCAGCTTTTTACGGCTGTCTGCAAAGGCACGCGGAACAGGTACACGGATTAGTAGGCTAGATACGAGAAGACGGACCAAGGAGCCGCGATTTTACTCCCACCTCTCGACCGAATACAGTGGAACGCGTGTTTTCCAAGTATCTCTAAATAGAATTCAAGAGCGACCTGATCTGGAATAGCGGCCTAACCCGGGGCCGCGATTTCACGATTAACGGAGAACGAGATTCGAACAAAGTCTGGAAAGTCACGTTCCTCTGACTCGGTCCCAGAGAGCACAGGGTATCGTCGTTGGTCTGCTGGTCTATTCCCCACGTACCGAATACTCGTGCAGCCTCTGCCTAGCCTGCACGAGGGTGCTGAGCTTCAATGGCTCAACTAGGAACTGTCTCTTCTCTTCGGTCCACGCCTTCACGGCCTCGTACAACGTCAAGAATCTCTGCCATGCGTCGATCGTGTCAGCCAGCACTTGCTTCCTCTCGTCCAGCCAATTCCTCACTTGGTTCAACTGCTCGGTGACATTGTGAACGGTGCTGTCGATCAACTGCTTCTCCGTTTCGTCTCTCGTGTTCTCCGCAATGGTACGGCCGTTTCTCGTTAGTCGTTCGAGCTTGTCGCCGATCGTGCCCAGCTCGTCTTGCACCTGCTTCAACTGCTCCTTCAGAGGGACAGGTTCGATGGACCTGTCCTGTACCTTCAACTCGGCCTGTCTGATCCACGCTTGAACCTCGTCGAGGTCGGTCAGGTAATCCGACCTGACGGTTCTGGCCCGTTTCTGTTCCCTCTGTTTCTCCTCCATCGCCTGTGCAGTTGCTTCGGCGCAGAGTTCAAGAGCCGTGAGGTGCTGAGCAAGATCGCTGGGGACCAGCTGCTGGCTAGCTTGGTACCGCGCCTTAGTGCTTCCTGAGAACTTTTTCGCGCTGTCGAGGAGCTGCTCGACAGCCGAGCGAAGCTCGTCAAGCTCCTCCTCGGTCGCGTCCTGATCCGGCCCGAATACGTAGAGGCTCGAGGCGCGATCGCGCGCCTCGTTCAGACGCTTCCTCAGCTGCTCGATCTCACGCTCGGTGCCTTCGAACGCCTCCAAGTCTTCGTCCGCCTTCTTGGATTTCGTCTGCAAGGAGTCGATGAGCCTGCAAGGAGCACCGATGTCTTTCATTCGCCGCGCAAACTTCGCTATACGATGTTTCGAGGGGAAGAATGATATTTCTGATCGTTTGCCTTGGCGTTCCTTCAATGCCGACGCTCGAATATTCGCGGTTCGTTAGGTTCGGGTATCGCGTTACGAAGAAACATCGAACCAAGTGGCGCGGAGCGAAAAGTGGTGGGGATGCGCACGAACGAACCTGGCGCCAAAGGAGCGACGGACAGCAACAACTTACGCGTGTTGACCGACAGGTGACGCCTCGTGTCGTCGAACGTGTATAACCTACGCGGACCACTCGGAAGTCGGGCGTGTTTACAGATTCACGGGATCTGAACGTGACCGTCGGCGTGTCTGTGGTCGCTACCTTACTAACGGAAAACGATTTGCCCCTTAGCGGCGTGCTTGTACACGGAGGCCAGTGATAAAAATAGAATTTAGCATATTTCCTGTGGCAACGGGTTTCCAATAATGCGTGCCAATGCGCGATCATCGCGCCACTGCCCATCGGTTATAGGGCAGAGGTCGACGAAGGAACACGAAGGAGAAATAGGAAAACGAAGGATATCATCGGATCGATCGGATACAAGGAATTGTCCGAGGCAGAGGTACGACGAAATTAGAATGGAAAATGCGTGTCGCTGGTTCGGCTGTAGCTGGCTTCGTGCCAGCCAGAGCGGAGGACGCTTTGGCTAAAAGTAGACGAACAAGCCGCGTGTCGGTGTGTGCGTCTCGGTTGCTCGTCGGAATTGGAATTATTCTTTTGTCAGCGCTTCCTCGGGTATGGTTATGCCTCCGTTTCTTTTACCTTCGTCCTGTCCGCGAGAGGCCAGCAGTGGGGATACGTGCGAATTACGTCGCAACCAGGCGTCTTGTAGGTTAGAAAATCCGATTCGGGGACAAAAGTGTTTTGTCACCGGATAATATGCGGATGGAACGTGGGTCAATTTGTAAGAGTAGCTCGAATTTGCTTTGTTACGAGGATCGGACGGTGCCAAGTGTTTTCACGAAGATGACAACATCGTCGTATCGTGTATCGAGCCACGAGGAACGTCGCGCGATCAGTCATCGTTCCGTTTCGAGTCGGCTTACGTTCCATGCCGGTGCATCGTGTTTTCGCGATGTTTCATGCCGGACAACGATGACGTCAGCGATAAACTCTCGATTTTGATTACTCATTGACTCGGCGATACGTGTCTGTCAGACGAAGTCTAACGAGCAGCGAGACGGACATGCGACATCTATCGAGAACTCGATAATTTCTCGTTATCATCGGCCATTGTGAAATAACGACGGCGTACGAGAACGGAAATTTTAATTCGGAAAATTGAACTCGCGCGATTTAATTTGGACAATTTAATACGAAATTTTAAATCGCGATTCCGAATAGCAAACGTGGATTCTTCGATCGAAGCACGTGGAATTTTCTAGTCCGGATGTGGAATTTCGGAATAAAGGGAAGGCTCGCGATGTCGATGTCAATGTCAAGCTTCGTACGCACAGCGCGTTTCTTTTCGCACGATGACATCATCGTGGCTAATAATGAACGCTGTTTAACAGGAGGTGCAATCACCAGCCGACGATTGCGATATTTTCGAGATAGAACAGAAAACGTTACGCTCCGGATCGTTGATGACTAACGCGAAATTAAAAACGAACAGACGCACGATTAGTCACGACATTTTTCTCTCTCTCGGTATCTCCGACACGAACGATAACATTGTTAATTATGCGAACAATCGATCGTATAAACAGTCGTATAAACAAAATCGTATCACGACTTCCGATCTCGCGGAAAATTTATCGTAAAATTTATCGCGAAATTTATCGCGAAATTAAGAATGAATTTTTTTCCAATTTCCGAATAGACTTTTTCGAATCTCTAAATTTCCATTTCGACGTCTCGATTATCGGAGTATTAACGAATAAAATCTCGTTATCGTCGACGAGGTATGGCGGACAGCGAGTTCCGGAAGTAGCCCGTCCACGTGATGCAATCCTTATGCGGGCATGTGACTCGACCCAATGTGCTCGCGGCAACATCATCGCGGCAACATCGAGGTATTTTCGTATCACCAACCGAATGATCCACTTTTTCGAGGATCCATCCACCGGGAACACTGAACGTATATACCGGCAACGATAAATTCCAGCGAGTAGCATTTTTTCCCCGAGATATCGCAACACCACGAGACACCACGACGAATCAACCGGAAGTCTGCCGTTCCTCCACCTACTCATTTTTCTATACACTTGCACGCGAGTATTACGAGTCGACGTTGATCCCCGTGGCAAATCCGCGAGCCTGGATAAAGGTCGATGGACGATGGTATCCAAGAACGAGACGAGGTCGTACCGTGATGGAATCGGTTTCCCGGGCAAATCTCGTTCTTCCCTGCTAATATCCCTGGCTCGACGATGATCGCTCTCTCTTCACCAGCTCGAGATCGATCGACGTTCGATTCGCGTGAAGAATATTCGCGAATAATCGTAAAATTGAAAATATTTCGCCGTGGATTATCGGACAACAGTATGGCGCGGCACGATCAAGCTAAACAGCAGCGTTCGCGGTTCGAAACGTTATTAGAAGGGGCGTAATAGCGTTAGCTTTGAATTTTCGTCTTGGCGAGGCGCCGCGACGCATGCGGCTTAGGTTTAAACGTTCGCCAAGCCGGACAGGAACGAAAATCGACGACAGTCGAAAAGCGGCGCACGCTGGTTCCTAAGAATAATATAGCCACTCTACTTCTTCCTCTTCTTCTTCTTCTGTTTTTCCTTATTTCTCTTATTTTTTCCCCCTGCTTCTTCGTTTCCTTCGTTTTCCATCTTTTCTTCGTTTTCTTCATCTCTCCGCGCTCCTCTCCGCGAGAGCGAGCACGCACCGGCACGAAGCGGAGTTCATTGGCTCGAAGATCTTCGCCATCGCGGTTCTAACCTATTCTTTTGGCACGCCGGATAGATGATATGATTACAATGCGGATCGAAATGTTGCGTTGGATGTTGCAACGTTGCGGAACTGGCATTTCGACCCCTTTTCGTCCACCATTTATCCGGGTTTTTGGGTTACGTTTTTGCGCCAACGGGTGCGCAGGGTTACAGGGTGAAAATTAGAATGGCGCCGCGTGGTCGGCGGAAAATTCCGGCTTAAGCGTATTGCTGTCTTTCGCTTCATTTGGGTCACCGAGATCTTGGCTTTCGTGGCACGCTCGAGTAACCCTTCAGGGTTACAAGGGAGAACGCCGTGTCGATAACGTAGATAATATCTGGGCTTTGAATTTCTCGTGTTCGAGCACAACTTCGCCGACGAGGAGCGAGGGACCGAATGAATGCGATATCGCGAAACGAAAGTACAATTCGGGAGCTCTTTGGGAGAAGGGTCCATTTGTCGAAAAATAACATTCTTCGTAGATAAAACATCGTATCGACTAAAAGGAAAAAATTCTATATAACTGTGAAATGATCATTATTCTTTCGTATAACGAAACAGGATATCGAGGAAAATCAGAAGAGAAACGTCCTTCTTCCAAAGCACTTCTTGATCAAAATATTTTCAAATCATTGCCTAATCGTCGAGAGAATTCTACCGAAAAAATGAACACGACGTTTTGATATGAGTCACCGTTATGGATATTCAAACAACACCTTATCTCTCATCCCTACGTCGTGCACCGCGACGAAATCTTTACTTTAAAATTCATTTGGAAAGCCGACGAACGAAGTCGCACGAAATCCTCGATTACCAAGAAAAAAGGCAAAAAAGAAAAAAAAGAAAAAGGAGGAAAGACACAAGGATCACTGTTGCACGATTTCTGCACAGGACACGATTTTTCCACTCGCGATTCGGGGATGTTTCTCCGTTACATTGCAGCGAGGCCAACGTCGAGAGACACGTGCCTGCACCGAAACACACGTTTCGCTGTTCCGCTTCGGTATCGATTGCTGATAGAGAGGCCACAAGGCCTGACGGTCATAATATTTAAGCCAATAACCGTGTGCAATCCGACTAACCCAATAAACCGTGGAGCACGCGTGAAATTTTCATTCTTACGTACTGTCAATCGACATCCCGTGCTCGTTGACCACCAGGTACCCAGCTGCGTCCACGCACTTTCTGGCCTGGCGTTTCCGACTGTTGCGCAACTTCGCAACCTCACGTCTCCGTTACGATACACACTCGATTCACACCAATCACGAATATCACAGAACGAAAAAGAAAAATCCGCCCAGGTAATCCACGTAATCCTCGGTTATCTCTTGCAGCACACACGCTCGGTAGAGCACGGATTCGCGACGATTAAATTCCACGCGAAATTTCCGCGAAGTCGCGATTTATTCCGCACTTTAATCTCCCGAAGCTCTACACGGTGTGGATAAAATCGCAGGTACTCGGAGAACCGTGCACCGTCGGTATCACGCGAAAGACTTGCCGCAATCCGCGCGTGGCCGATTGTTTAATAAGCGTCTACGCTGAAAGGACACGCGGACCAGCCTCGACCAGCACACGACAAACTCTCGTCATACTTTATTTCCAGTGCGCGCCGCCGCGTACGAATGGTGACTGGCGTGCAAACCGGGCCGCGGATATTACGCCATGAAATTCAGAAGCGGGCCAACGTGCCGCCGCGGCGGTCGCTTCACTTTTCTTCGTCAAATCTATATTTAGTGAGAATTCGATCGGCAAACTGGGACCCGGGGTGAGCCGCGATTCGCGTGCGGGGGTTGGCGAATGCACCCCCGGTCGAAACGAGAACGGCCATCCGCGTCCGCCTGCACCACCGCCGCGCTCTTCCTCGCGTGAGATCCTCCAATCGATGAGAATGCGGAGAACCACCCGATTACCTAATGTCGCACGATTAATGACCCGACGTCGCCTCTGCGAATTACTCGGCAAACGCGTTGCGCAATCCATTGAAACGTGTTTACAAACAGCATCGGTGGAAATAGAGCGACCGTCGCGAGATTCCCAGTTTTCCCTGCTTTTCCCCTGGGTTTGCGGGTTTCGAGTTCGACCAAGGAGCTAGGGTGCCTGGAGTACGCGACCACGCGATGCATGTTGTTATCCGTGCTTCTTGGGGTTAATAGGGTGCGCGTGAAGCATCGATGGGGTGGGAAACTCGTGTTTACGAAAAATGGGCGTGACCAAGGGTATAGTGTAAGAAGAGAAAACGAGTAATAAATATCGAATTCTGACGTATTCGTGAAAATATTCCAAGCTTTTGTTCAGAAATTTCTCTATAAAATTGAATTTTATTTGTTTATTTATCTGTCTATCTATTTATTTATTTATTTAAATTGAAAGAAACTCCTATAAAGAAATATTTCAATACAGAGACAAAATAAGACACGAAGGAATTATCACCGAGTGTTATACTAAATTCTAAATACAGAGATAGACCTAAATATTGTGGAAAATTGACTGTATAATGTGTTGGTCGATTAATATAAATTTTCTTTAAAAAATACACAGAATTTTGAAGTTACTAACGAGACAGGAACTGTCGTTTCTTCGTGTAACGTGGGGTTATTTTCATAGAAATTTCGCGAATTTTCTAGCGCCGCGGAGGAATGGATCTAGGGATTTTTAAATTCTAGGAGCGAGAAAAGGCGTAGAGGTTAGAAGTTTCGCGAATCGCGACGTCGTAGCTTTCGCACACACGGCTCGTCGATACTCGTTCCGATTTTAATAGCACTCGAGTGTTATCGACAGATTCGGGTAAACTTGGGAAGATGCATGGGTGTGTGCTGTGCAGACGGTATCCTTGACTAGGTTTTTGTCGAACGGAGAAGAGCAGCGGTGTTTTTTTTCAAAGAATCTATAGGTTAGTTGAAAGGTTACTTGTAGAAAATCATTCGGTCGGCTTATTTTTATTCTTTTCTGGATATTAATTTTATGACGCAATGCATATCGCGGCACACGGTGCACGACAAGGTCTAATTACGTCATGGGATTAATTTGGGTATGATGGAACGCAGTGGGACACGTAACGCATGCTAAATCGATACATGTCGTAACCCACAAGGAATCTACTCCTAAGGAGAAATCTCGAACCTGACCTTTCCCTTCCTCCACATCGTTTTTCGATCCCTCTTTCGCTCCTCGAAAATAATTTCGTCGAGTAACCTCGTTTGATAGCTGACGTTGCGAAATTACATCTCGAGAAAAGCGAGATCTTGTAACGAGAGAGAAACACACCCAGAAAGAGAGAGAGGAAAATCAACGCGCGTAAGATGAACTTGCGAATTTTTAAGAACCCTCAGCAGATAGATATAGAGTCACGATCGATGATAAATAACGGGGGGGTGTAAAAATTGGTGGCTGAAAAATGTTATCCTGAAAAGAACACAACGTGAAGAAAGTATTCGCAAGAATGTGATTAAATTATTGATATTCGATGCGAAGATAGCCTGAAACAAAACATGTGACGGGGTGGGGAAAGCAGACATTACCTCCCCTCCCATGGGGATGGTAATATGCATAAGCAGCACGCACACGCACACGCATGCACATGCCAAGTCGCACACAATCGCACCGCATGATTCCTTCGTCGATGTGGTCGAACGCTCGTCGATACTTCTCGAATGCAAAAAGAAGGATAAACATATTACACGACCTTGATAATAAAAAGAAAAAAGTCAAAAAAGAAAAAAGAAACACAAAATAGAAAACTAAATCTGGAATGATTTTTTCGCGATGAATATAATTATAATTAGAAGAGGTAACTTGATCTGGAATGATTTTTCAACGACAACGAAAATTTACAAATTATTTTATAATCTATGCACGCGTCTTGGTAAAAGAGATAATATAGTCTTCCAAATAAAAAGGAACTCGTAGAGGAATAATATGAATAATAATGAGTGTATAATTATAGCAATAAATTTCTTCGATTTTGAAAGAAACGCGTTCGCGTTGGAATCGGAAGGCAGAAGATTCTTTGGTGACACAGATATAGTGTCATCAGCGGTGCTTCTGGAATGTCAGAATAAAAAACCAATGCGTTTCGACTCACGATTCGACGGAACTCTGCAACTTGTTTAGCTTCTCTTCGAGTGCGTGTGCTGGTTCCTCTGTGAAGGCTGCCAGGTACGCTAGGACGGGACCTGACAGAGCTTTCACTTCCGTTGCCATTGGTTCCAACTTCTCGGCTTCCGCTACCAGCTCCTGTACACAGTAAGCCGTCAGATGAATAAAGTCCGCTAATTAAATAATTAATTTTTAAACACCAAACGAACACTTCGTTCTTAAAATATTATCAAATTAAAACAGCTTTCTTTCATTATCCTTACTCAGGTATAGGATGTAAATATTACGTTATCTATCTTACACGATATTTAATGCGATGTTTAACCCCTCTCGTGCCATTTAGCTTGACGAAATTCGGGCCCAAACAGTCGACATTAACGCGTGGTAAATAGACCAGACTGATAGTCAGATAGTCAAAATGTGTAAAGACGAAGTGTGATATAGTCAGTTTTACCCGATACTGTTATCGTAGAAGTAAAGTCTGATTCTTTTTCTTTTTATAAATATTATAAATATATTGTGAGAGGAATCTTTGTTTGAATGGCGTCACCCTGCATCGAGATCTATTTTTGCTTCGAGGAACCATCCAGCTTATCAATTCTCGATGCAGGGTTAAGTGACGCAATAGGTTGTCATAGGGTCTATAGAAACCTAGCTAAAGGGTTTGACGACACGCTTTTTGACAGTCCACCGTCTGCACCAAGCATCATGGTAGGTTTCGAGTTTCCGTATATTTTATACCGCCAAGAAATATAGAGTATAACCAGAATCAAAAGTTCGCTTCGACTTATTAACCCTTTGCACTCGACCATTTTTGGCTAAAGAAGAATAGGAGTTCAAAGATTTTCTGTTACAAAGCTGACGATATTTTTCTCAGCAGTGAATAAGAAATCGTTTAAGAAAATAATTAACACGTAGAATTATTTGATCTCGATATCTCTTACACCGTTACATTATCTGAAATTTGACATATTAATGAATATCGAGCTTCGAAATTTTATTAAATTTGCCTCTCGAGCGCAAAAGGTTAATCCGATCCTTACCACAATATTATATTTTATAATAGATGACAGTTTCAGAACTATATTTAGAAAAATGTTCTGTTCACGAGTCTAGCTCGTGATATTCACGTTTGGACCAATATCTTCATCACGAGTCTGACTCGTCATTGTACGTGAAGGGGTTAACGCATTTATGATCGATATAATCTGAAGTATACGAATTAAATAAACAAGCTTTTGTATATAAACGTAGTGTACTTACATGTAGAGCTTTGATGATGTCCTGTAGATGTTGCTTAGACCGAAGCACAGTGTCCAGAAGTTTTCCCTTCTCCTCGATAGCGTTCACGCGCGTCTCAATGAGAGACCATTGCGCCTCGAGGCCTTCCCAGTGCTTGGACAGCGCCTCGAGGGCGTCTCGGCGTCCCTCCAGACCGGAAACCAGTTCTTTCCATTCCCCGCTAATTTCAGAGATTTGCGATTCTATCGTTTTCTTGTTATTCGCGTCGGCCAATCGTAGCACCTCTCGACTGCGTTCATTCAGAAGGTCCAGTTCGAAATGTTGATCCTGCAGGGAAAAATGTTCAGTTCGTTCTCCGTTATTCCACCAGATCCACTAAATCGCTCAACCATCGCGACTGACTAGCAAACTTGCACGGAGATGCAGAGCTCACGATTATTGACTAACCTGTATGTCATTGAGCGCGTGCGTGATCTTCTGGATATTAAACTGCAGACCAGCCAGAGTCGTGACGGGCTCATCGGTGAATCTGCTTCTCGCGATGACAGCTCGAACTCGTTCCAACGTTTGCGTGTAGTCCTTCCAGGTCTCGGCACCTTGTTCCAGCCTTGCACGCTGAGATTTCGCCGTGTTCAGAGTGTTCTTCAGTAACTGAGTGTGCTGCTGCTGTTCCGCGCTCAGCTCCTCTTGCTCGGACGTGTTCAGGGACGGCCAAATCTTGTCACCTGCTTGTTGGATCTGCTGAGACACCAGCTCGCGGATGGACGCCTCGCTGCTGAAGTAAATCTGTGAAAAGTTTAGGATAGTAACTTGCTTGTGCAGCGAGGTTATAAAATTCACGTCTTTCGGTTAGGGTTATCTAGATGGCTATAGACTTTGCTGGGTACACAGTGATCCTTTTGTCGGGATACTCGAAGTACAGCTGAGGAATAGTCTAAGGACATGTCACATCGAGAACCTGTTTTGTCTGATACGTCGATCGATGGTTAGTATAATTTTAGAGACTTTTTCGGTTATTTTTTGGTCATAAGTTTTTATTTTACGGTGGTAAAGTGATGTGGTATATTGTGTCGGGTTCGGAATAAGATTTGGAAGCATGTTTGATTCGGACACTCGCAAACAGGTTCCAAACTTTTCACGAATTGCTCACGAAGAAGTCTAAGCTTCGTGGACTCGACAGATTACCTGTTACGAAGTTTGTAATACGGAGTTTCTGTGACGGTATTTTGCTAATCGCAGCGTCTTTAAGTACCCTAGCAAGAGAGTTAGTATGTATAACTATACAAACCTTGTGTTCCTCGAGATCGCTGAGGATATTCTCAAAATCGAGTCCATCTTTGTCGCTTTCCAACCGAATCTCTGCTTCGCGAACCCAGTTTCTGAGCTTCTCGGTGAGAGCAGCATATTCCTGCCTGAGTTTCATGTTACTCTCCAGGTAATTCCCGCGTTCTTCCATTTCTCTTGGCAGAGACGTCAAGAGAGACATGGCCTCGCTGAGCATTTCCTTCAACGAGCCAGGCATTCCTTCTTCGTGAGGCACAGAGTTCTTCAGGTTCTTGATCCTCTCCAGGTGTTCGTTCACAGCCTCGCAGAGTTCGTTGTGATTTTTCAGCTCGGCCTCCACGCTCGTTGGGTCTCTCTCTAGGAGAGGCCTGGATTTCACTTCTTTTTCCTTGTCCTCCAACCAGTCGAGAATCTCGGCCAGTTCGTTTGCTAGTCTCTTGTGTTCCGCAGCTGCTAGCTCGTGCTGCTCTCGTTGGTTCTCCACGGCCCTTCTTAGACCCTGTAGCTGTTGTTTCAGGGACTGTAGTTGCTCGGTGATGTTGTTCCTGTCTACGCTGGAGCCTTCGGTTGCGATCTGCTGGCCCTTGTCCGTTGCGCTGGCGAGGGTTGCTTCGCATTCCTGGATCTTCAAGATGGCGTCGTCGTATCTGAGTGAAAATAGAGAATAAAGATATCTAACGATGAAGTTTCAATTGCTGTATGCAAATTTTAATTCTTAGATTCGTAGATTGGAGATTGTTAAGAATCCCTAGGACCCCTAGAAAATTCCGGGATTAGTGATTTTAGTTGTATGCATTCTAATAATATATCGTAGGACTTTTTGCTAAATTAATCCTGTGCACACAGAGATCTACGCGTCTAATAATCAACAACTCCCTTTTAATAACGAAACAAATTTATTTAACTAAAATATTACACTAACAAAGAGAGTGCAAGTACTTCGGGTCATTGATTTAGTTGAAACTTTACAGATTTTTAGATTTTTAGATTTAGTGATCCAGTTCAAGAAAATGTACCATTATAAGGGCAACTACTCGATAGTTTTTGAGATATTTATGCTTAAAGCTTTATTATTCTTAGCTACCGATTTCTCCTGAATAGTTATCCATGTTTACGAAGCGTCGTTGTGATGTAATGGCGACACCAGAAAATTTCAACCCTGGTGATTCGGGGTTCGATCCAGTCTATAATTAATAGTTTCTTTCCATCCATTTTTATTTTGTATTAATTTAAATAAATTATTTTACTCGGGCTATTAAGCGTGGCAATATTAGAGTGTCGTCATTAGGTCACAACGTCGCTTGACAATTATTCGAAATAAATCTGTAATTAAGGCAATAATAAAACTTGAATTATAAGTATCTCAAAAACTATCGAATAGTTGCCATTTTAATGATATATTTTATGAACTGCATGACGAAGTCTACAAACCTGCTAAGTTCCAAATCCATGATTCGAAGGATTTGCACTCTTCTTGTAAGTTCCTTTCAATTCTAACTCTCAAACACACGTGATAGATCCTCTATTCACTACGTCTCGACTACATACACTGTGCCTTCTGTGCCTTTGCATCCTTACTTAAAACCAAAACTCTCTCTTTTCATAGACAGGCTTTCTTTCTCGATCACTCGACACGGTCATAGATATCCCGTCGAAAGGATTCATCCGCGCTATCGTTTGTTCCTTTGCTTGCATCCTAGATATCACCCTGAACGCCTAAGTCGAACCCGATGCCGCTGTTTATTATTCCTCGCTTTTCGAGAAGAGGCCCAAGCGTTCCCATGCATTCGCTTAGAAGTAAGACCGTTACTCTTTCCTATCTTCTATTTTCCTTGTTAGTGTCCTTCATTGCTCGCCACCCCACAATATTATTTCAAGAGTGAAGATAAAAAGTAAGTTTAAAAATTGCTTCATCGCATGACAGATTTGATCGTCAGTAAAATAACTATAGCGAAACGTCTTAAAATAACTGAGAAGGTCTGGAAAACAGATTTCTCAGAGTATAAATACCTCTTTATCTTTTCTTCCGTGGTCTGGCCAGAGTTCTCGATGTCTCGAATGATCTCCGTGTACTTAGCGATGAAGGTGGTGATCTCGGTGATCAGAGCGATAAATTGCTGTCGTAACAGAAGCAACTGGCGAAGTTTCGCGATTTGGGACTCTATGGCTTTTATGAGGTCATCCTGCTGAGTCAGTACCCCGTGGAGGTCAGCCACGTTCACCGATTGCAGGTCGGATAGTTTCGCCTTGTTCGCTGTTAGATCATTTAGGATCCTCTCGTAGGAGTCTAACATGGCTTCGACGTCTTCCACGCGGGACCCGATTGGCTTGTTAAGTTCGTGAAGTTCCTTCTGAACGTCTGTCATGTACTGAACCGCCTCGGCGACTCGTGCCAATGATTCCTCGGCTTCGTCGATGCTCTTCTGAAGAGCCAGGGCTCTCTCGTTTATGATCCCAGCCACTCTTCCGTGAGCTTCCTTCATGTTCTGCAGCTGCTCGTTCAGTTCCAGTTTGTCTGCGTCGCTGACAGTCGGGAAGATCGATTTTCCCTGCTGCATTAGCTTCTCGATGTCGTCTGCATAGTCCTTTGCTTCTTTCTTCAGACGGTCGTACTGGTGAGACAAGTCGGTTAGGTTGCGATTGAGTAATCGATCAGAGTGCAGATACAGAAATATACAAACGTAGATAAAAGAAGCTTGAACGTGTTAAAAATTTTTAATCTAATCGGTTTGGCACTCGTTTAGTATCACGGAACTAGTCGATTGTTATCTGACAAGTGTCTGGTACCTGATAATTATCAACGTGTAAATGGTGCTCGATTGAAATCTAATTTAATCATGTCCATTCATCGTGAAATGTTATTTCGTATAATGAAGAGATAGGTTGTCTTACCTTGGCCAATTGCTCCCGCAGAATATCGATGCTGGTAGTTCGTAGATCAGCAGACGTAGCCACTTCAGCTTCGTTGATCCATCTCTGACACTTGTCCATCTCGTTCTCGAACGCCTTTCGACCCTGAAGAAGGTCTGCTAGAGCCGCCTGCTTCTCTTGCGCCTCGCTCTTCAGCTCTTCATAGTCCTTGTTCAACTCGTCCAAAATCTTGTCCAACTTTGCGCGATCCTCCTCGTTGCATTCCTTCAGCAAATTGTGTCCCTGCTTCAGAGTGTCGTTCAGGTCCTTCTCACTGAAGGTGTCGATGTCGGCTTCCAGTTGACCGTGTTGCGCGATATCCTGTTCGACTTTCGAGGCCTTGAGGGGTAGATAACCGCTCAGTTTCTTCAGGTTGTTGCTCTTCGACTTGATCCAGGTACGTGCCCGTTCGAGGTCCGCCTCGAACTTGCGGCGAGCGTCAGCTGCAGCTGTGGCATTGGAGATTCCCTCTGTCAGGATGCTGCAAAGTTGAGCTTGTTCACCTCGCAGTGCTTTCGTTTCGTTCTCCAGTTGCTGCTGCTCGTTGGTCTCCAGCTCGTTCTGCATGTTCCCCACTCGTTTCTCCAGGGTGTCGATCACCATTTGCTTACCCTCTGCTTCCTTCAGCATTGCCTGGAAATGATGGATAAACGAATTTCATTTTCTTGGATGACTAACGATTCTTTGGCCCTTAGTCACTAGAAGGGCCTGGCTGATAAACGCAGACCAATTTCTGAGTCCAAAAACAATTGACTCATTCCTATTTTCGTCATTGCCTGGAAATGATGGATAAACGAATTTCATTTTCTTGGATGACTAACGATTCTTTGGCCCGTAGTCACTAGAAGGGCCTGGCTGATAAACGCAGACCAATTTCTGAGTCCAAAAACAATTGACTTATTCCTATTTTCGCTAAGGGCCAATGGTCATCTTCACCCCATCAAAAACTAACATTACATAAGCACTCACAAAATTTGCGAAAGGTCAGTTTCAGTTTTAGTTTTAGTCTTTTTCCTCTCCACCGACTTGTATTTTTCCAACCTAGCCTTGTTGCTAGAACCCGTATTGTATGTTGAAATCCGGGTTCCAACATTAACGATCGAATAAAAGATTGAACCCAAAAATGGTACCACACCTCGGTCTAACTGTTTACGAGTGATAAATTACCTTCAGAGCAAGGAGTTTCTCTTCTGCCTGCTTACTATCGAATCCAACCGGATCGGGGACCTGTGCTTGCTGCTTCTTCTGCTGAATCCAATCTCGATTCTCCTCGATTTCCTGTCTAGTAGCCTCGATGCCTTGAGCAGTCATATCCAACACCTGTGCCTTCCTCTGCAGTTTCTTCCCTATATCGGCGTATCGTCTCTCCACCGACTTGATCTGCTCTTCGATCTGCTGCGAGTCCAAATTGTTCACCGAGTACATCACCTGTTCGCTGAGGCTCTTCACCTCGTTCAACTTCTCGGGGCCCTGGGACTCGAACTCGGTCGTGATCTCTTTCACGCTCGCTATCTTCTGCCCGATAGTTTGCCCGTTTCCTTTCTCGATAACGTCCACCTTCTTCGACAGCGCGTCTAACCAAGACTGAATACTCTGCACCTGTGTCCTGTACTTCTGAATCAAGTCTTGCGCCGCCTGTTTTCTGGAAATAGCGTCCATCAGCTCGGATTCCAGTTTATCCAATTCCTGTATGATGTCCTGATCGTTGTCGTTGAGCGATAATTCGGTCAACGCGTATGTTCGACGTTCTCCGATATTCCCTAGCAAATCGTTCATTGCTTGTAGTTCAGCATGAGCAGCCTCAGATCTCAGTTTTGGCGCTCTGAACTTCCATTCGGCGCACACTGCTCTTTGCTCGGATATCCAAGCGCGGAGAGCGTCCTTCTGACGGGTTTGCTCTTTCAGGTCGTTTAGGGTCTTGGTCACGTTCATTAGGTGTGTCTGTGCCTGTTGGAATGAGAATGGGATTTATGCAGAACGATTAAAATTATTGCTTTGGTGTATTTAATGCTTTCGATACTAACGCTGAGTATGGGACCGATGACAACGTTCGACTCATGCGGTGTACTAATGGCGTGAGTATAGTCACCCAACGTTTGACTTTCGCGATATGATAATGGTAATTATAGTCACCTAAAGTCTAATGCTCGTAGGGTACAACCGGTGACTATAAGCAGCTAGTATTGCGGTGCTCTACCAGTGACTATAGTCACCCAATCTTTGACTTTTGTGGTATAAGGGTGGTAACTATAGTCACCCGAAGTCTAACGCTCATAGGGTACAATAATCAGTGACTAAAATCATTTATCGTCCGATTATTGCAGTGTGCTAATGGTAACTATAGTCACCCAACGTCTAATTCTCGCGGTGTATTAATAGTGACTATAATCACCCTACGTTACAATGTTCTACTAGTGACTATAACCACCCAACGTCACGGTATTTTATCAGTGACTATCATCTTCCAATTTTAGGTCTAACTTTCGCGATGTACCATCAGTGACTATAGTCATCCAAAGGCTAACTTTCACAGTGTACTAACGGTGTCTTTAACGCACTAACACGTTAACGCATAGATTCACAACCTCGATAGACCAGACTATGTCAGCATCAGGATTGCTCCAAATCATAGTAAGGCATTTGCAAGCAAGACCGTCCCATGAGAAGGGTGAAGAAAGAAAAAGAACAGAAAGAGATAATAGATATGATACCTGATCGATCAGTTCCTCCAGTTTGTTTCGAACCTCCACTTCCCTAGCTGGGATCTGCACAGGTGGCGCGTCCAGAGGACTTCCGGGTCTAGAGACGCAGGCTACCGCAGCTTCGCAAGCTTCGACAGCCAGAGCAAGCCTCGTCTTATCAGCCTGCAACTTATTATGCAACACACGCGCGTTTTCGAACCTCTGCTGAGCCAGATCGAGAGTATCTATAGGTGCCTCCATCTCCTGCGCTATCTTCGGCTCGTACTCGTCCAGGTTCTTCATGATACTTTCCAAGGTGTTCTCGTATTCCTGGAACTTCACCAACGACTCAGCCAGTCGTTTTTTAATCTGCAACGCTGTGTTCAGCAAAGAGTTGTAACTCTCCTGGACATTTTGCAGTTGCGTCTCGATCACTGTCTTGATCGAGGGATTGGCAGCCACGTAACGATTGATCTGTCCGTTTCCTTTCAACTTCAGTTCCTCCAGTACGGTCGTGTAATTCTCGATGTCTGCGAGCAGAGTCTCGTGTTGCTTAATCTGTGACATAGTCTGTTCTTTGTTCGTGATGTACAACGAATTGTGAGCCATTAATTGGAAGGAAATCAGCAGCAGCCACTTCTCGGTGTCCTGCAGACCAGCGTGGTAAGCGTTGTACTCCTGGATTTCGTGCTCGATCAGCCTCTTCCTTTCATCCACGTTCTCGTTCAAGTTGTTCCAACGTTTCAGCAACTCTTTCGTCCCTTCCAGAGGCGTGTTCTTCTTCGCCAGATTGGACAGTTCGCTGGCCTCTTCCATCAGGTGGTCCAGATCGGTCTTCTTGCCGCGAACTTCTTCCTGGATATGCTTGTAGCGTTCCAGCATCGTTTTCATATCTCCAAACTCACCCTTCGTGTCAGGCAGCGCCTTGATACTGTTCTCGGTTTCTTCCAGCCAGCGTTCCAGTTTCCCATGAGCATCCGCGTGATCGTCCCAGCGATGCAACAGCGATTTCAGCTGGGTCTGAACGGTTTTCAAGTCGATGCTCAGTTGTTCCCAGGTGGTAAGGAGGTCGGTCATGTCCAATGTCAGTTGATCCTGTTGCTCCGGTAGCGCTGTGTCTATGGCCTTTGTGAAGGCGCTTTGCAAGGTTGAGAGCAGGTGTTGACCTTCGGTAATCCTCGTGGCGACGATCTGAAGCAGAAGAGGGGTTATCGAGCGAACTAACTTAAATTCTAGGTGAAAAATATTAACTTTTCGTACCTTGATGGTTTCCAACTTATCCTTCACCCACTCGGCATCACCAACTCCCATGCAGTCTTGCACCGATCCTCGAGCGATGCGTAACCAATCCTCCATTTCCTTCTTCGCCTTCAGATAGTCCGCATGGTTAGATAAACTCTTCTCCATTTTGGAAATCAGGTTTTGAATATCCGTCAGCAGAGACGTATAAGCTGACTGTAGTTGCACGGTCTTGTCACGGGCCCAACTGCACGCGCTCATCTCCAATAGCGCCTCGCACTTGTTGTTCAGATCATCCAGGTCAGGTTGAATGGATTCCTCCACGAGGCTCTTCCATCGGATTAGGTCTTCGGGTGACTTGTGCTCCACCGACTGATCCTCGCTCATCTTCTTCTGGTAGTAATCCAGCCACCTCTTCATGCTGTCCAACGCGGCTGTAAACTGAGACCACCTGGATATACAGTCGGCAAGTGTCTTCTGGGTGTCGTGACATTGCGTTTGCAAGGACTTCCAGTTCGTCTGCAGCTGCTTCACGTCTTGCTTGATCGTTTCCTGCCCTTCCGGACCCGTGCTGGCGATCACACGGTCGCTGAGCTGGATCACCTTCGAGATCAAGGTCTCCCCTTTGGGAAGGGAAGCGATGATCTGATTCACCTTGTTCTCCTGTTCGATGATCCTTTCCTTCTCACCGTGGGTGTCACAGTTCTGTTGCAGTTCTAGCTTCGTGTTACGTACCCAGTCGGACGCTTCGGTGTAGGCCTGCTGGAACTTCTTGTGGTCGTTCACCTGGACTTCCAAATTCTGGGAAGGAAAATTGGAAAAGTCGATGGTAATAGCTGCGAATAATAGGTATACGATGAAAGACAAATGGTTTGAGGATACGTACCGAGATTTTGTCTGCGAACAGCGTAGCCAATTCGTCGTACTTCGCGATGGTGGATTGGTAGGGGGCAGCAGGTATGCTGGAGTCTTCTGCCAAGCGAGCCTTCAGTCTATCTACGGTCTCGCCGTGACCTTGGATGTTTCTCTGAACCCTTTTGTACTTTTCTAACATCGCGCGTTTCTCGTTCAGGTCATTCTTGTACATTTCCCCAGGCTGGATCTTGCCCTCGATCTCCTCGATCCAGTCAGTAGTGAGACGATGAATCTTGTTGAGCTCCTCCAACGCGCTGGCCCTCGCCGAAAGCTTCTGTCTTATGTCCTCAACGTTGACCAGCAGCTTCTCGAATTCCGTCTTCAAATTCTCCGTGTCTTCCTGAATCTTCGCGGCGCCATTTTGTTCAGTGTTCATGATCACCTTCTCCTTCAGTTCCAGGGCATAACGCAGCTTGTTCTGACCCTGTTCCAACGTCTGTCTGATGACTTTGCAGGTGTGCAGTTTGTTGTTCACCTCGGCTAACGTGCTCGGAATCTCCTTGCATTCGCCCAGTTTGTCGCGTGTTCGTTCTATCCAGTCTTGACACTCTTGGTACAGCGTGTTGTGCTGTTGATGTTCCTGAAGACAGAGAAAAATAGGTAGGATTATATCGCGAAGAATTTCGACAACGTGGAACGCGGAATATCAAGATTGAGAATGAAACGCACCTGATAATGCAGTTCCAGGCGTCTCATTATTTCCTTGGCCAAGGAGAGAAGCGCGTTGTACTTGGTCGTCAGTTGGGTAATGGCGTTGGAGATCCTAGTGTCTGCACAGGTCTCCAGCAACGTCTGGGCCTTCATGTTCAACCGATCGAGCTCTTTCTGCCAGTCGAACAACGTCTGCAGGTGGATCTGGAATTGTTCCAGCACGTTCTTCTTCTCCTCCAAGCTATCCTGCAGCTTGTTGAACGATTGCACCAGTTGCTCAGTCTGTGTGAGCCACTCGGTGGCTTCCGAAAATTGGTCCTCGTACTCTGTCCATCTTACTATGCCTATCTCCAGTAAGCTCTTGGTATTGTTCAGTGAGTCCCTGTAAGTTGACCGTCAGTTTTAGCTAGTCCAAACCTGTACTCAAACCTAACCAATCTGTAATCGAAACGAGTCAAGTGGTACTCACACATAGCTATCGTACTCTTCCTGCAACAACGCCACTTCCTCTTCGATTATCTCCTTATCCTCTTCATCCGCGATTTGGCACGCCGCGTTACCCTGCTCCAAAGCGTGCTGCAACTTCTTCTGACCCTCTGACAGCTCGCTTTGCAGCACCTTCAACTGCGTGATCTTATTCGCCAACGACTCCTTGTCTCCAGTAGGCTCAGAGCATTTGCCAAGTCTCTCTTTCGCCGCTCTTATCCATTGGATGAACTCATTCCCGCTGTCTATGAACGCCTGATGCTGCTCTACGGTTTCCTTCTGCTTCGCGTACAATTCTTGAGCCTGTTTGCTCAGCGTTTCGTACTTGATCGAGATTTCCGTGGCTGGCGTGGCCTGACGGAGGTCCTCAGCCTTGGTGGTAACCGACTGGATCATCGGTTCGAACGCTACGATATCCTGGACTATGCTGTTCGTCTGTCTCAGATTCGCTTTCCGTTCGCCGATAGCTAAGGAGCTCAAACCAGCCAGGCCTTTTCTAGCTTTAGACACCTTCTGTTCGCAGACCTGCTGCAACTTAGCCTCTCTGTCGTTGATCCACTGTTGCAGCTGTAGGTACGACGAGCTGTAATCCGCCCACTGAAGCAGACTGGTCTCTAAATGAACTTTGGTCGTCGAGATCTTCTTCACTAGCCTCTCCCAGTCGTTCTGGATCTCCTTCAACTGAGCATTGATCTCCTCGCGACCGTCTGACCGGGTGTTCCTCATCACTTTCTCGCCGCAGTTCACCGTCAGGTGCACCAGGTTCTGACCCTCCTCTCGTTTCCTCAGTAATTCCTGGATGTTGTCCAGTCTGTTCTGCAGCTCCTCTCGACTGCTCGTGGATGCTGCTTCTGTACCCTTGCGAATGATCTGCCTGGCATTCTCGATCCAAGCACGCGTTTTGGCCAGGTTAGCCTCGTACTCTTTGTGCTGAGCCAGATTAGTTTCGACCTTGTTCAGGACATCCTTGGCGAGGTTCACTTGCACCTGGTAACGGCAGTTTAGGTGACGAAGCTGATTGTTTATGTAGGTGTCTAGATGAGAAGAGAGAAGGCTGGACGCGGTCTTGTTGAACCTATCGATCTGTTCCTGTCCTTTCAGCAGATTCTCCAGAATCTCTTTCATTTCTTGTACCTGCTTCTCTTTCTCAGCCACGTTCGGTAATAGAGAATTCTTCTGTGCCTTTATCAGGATGTCGAATTGCTGCAGCCAATCGCTCAGTCTCTCGTACTCGTCCTTGTAATCGCGCCACTGGCTGACGGTTTGCTCCAACTGATCCTTCTGCTGCTTTATTTCTGCGGGAAGAAGAGCAAATCGTTGATTGCAGAAGAAACGAAGAGGTTAGAATTTTTAGACCGTTACTTACCTTTGAACAGCTCCTCGAAGCTCTGAGTCAAAGCTTTCACCTCGTTCTTTATAATTTCCTGGCCCTGCGGACTCGTGCTAGCGCAAACCACCTTTCCAGTGTGCTGAAGTTCAGCAGGCTCTCCAGCGGAGCCACAGCGTTCTCGATGGCCAACTTGTCGCTTAGAGGTCTCTGTTTCATCGACGGGATCTTCTCACGAGCTCGATTCAACCAGTTGATAATGTCGTCGTGTGCCTCCTTGTACAACCTGTGATCCTTGTACTGTTCCTCGCGCGCAGCTAGCAATGACTTGATCTTCTCGAACAACGTGTCGAATTTGTTCAGAATACTCTGCGCCTGGGATGCAGCTAGACTCTGAGGCCCACTGGCGATCATCTCGTCGACCTTGATCTTCAGACTGTCGACTTCGATGTTCTCGCAGCGAACCTTCTCTTCCAGAGCCTTGATACGCTCCAACTGACACCTCTTCTCGGACATCGTAGTCTGGAAGGGCATGAACTCGTTCAAGGCAGACTGTATATAGTCCACGGTCTTGTTCATCGACTGTATCTGCTCCAGGAGGTCTGCCCATTTGTTAATAGAGTCATCCAGGTTCGTCTTGGCCTCTAGCATCTTGGAAGCCAACGCGCTCCATTGTTCCTGAAGCTTTCCAACAGCGTCGTTGATGGCTTTGTGTCCTGTCGGGGCTGTATTCGCTAGAACACCTTGGGCCAGCTCCACGATCCCTTGAACCTTCGCGAATCCATCCTCCTTGTACAACAGTAGATCTTGCACTCTCTCCATTTTGTTCTCCAAGTCCTTCTGAGAGGATGCACCGAGATCGGAACAATAGGCCAGCTTCTTGCTGATGTCATCTAGCCATCTAGTACACTCTGCCACTTGGTTATCGAACTCCTGATGAGTGGTCACGTATTGATGCCAACGACTATTCAGATCCTTGACTTTGTTCGATATTTGCTGGTACTTGATGCTCAGTTCGGACATGTGCGTGGTACGGGAGGTTATGTTCTTGTGCAGCTGCTGAGCCTTCTCGGTGACAACGTCTATCTCCAGTTCCTTCGCACGAACTTGCCCTTGGAGGGTTCGCAGCACCTCCAGTTGGTCCTCCTTCTGCTGCAGGGTAGCCTTCAAGTTCACCGCGTGAAGCTTGGTATCGGTCTCCCTCATCCAGGCCAGACACCGTTCCTTGGACGTCTCGAACTCGTTCCACTGTTGAAGCTTGTTCTCCAGGGTCTCTATGGTAGACTTCACCGCCGTGACTAAGCTCTCCCACTCCTGCTGAGAGGAATCGATCTGCGAACGAATGTTGATCTGTCCAGACTCCAAGGTGCCCGGAATAACCTTCTAACCCTCGGTTTGTCCTCAGGCAGACTCTGCAATAGGTTCTTCAGCCTGTCCAGGTTGATGTGAAGAGAGACTCGCTCTAGCTCCGTGTCACCCCAGAGCATAACCGCGTTATGCGTCGCGTCTAGCCACTCGTGAGTGTCCAGAACAGCCTTGCTGTACCGCTGGTGGTCACTCACGATGCCTTCGTACCTCTCCACGAATGCAGCAGCTCGTTTCAACACTTTGCCGTGTCTTTCGTTCAGTTTTTTCAGCGTCTGGTGCACCTTGTCCGTGGAATCTGGCAGGTTGTCAGCCTTGTCGCGAAGATCGAGTAAATCTTGCTGATGGGACTGGATGTCGTGTAAGAAAGTGCGATAGATCTGTAACTGGGCTCGTTTCTCGTCTAGCGTGGTCTTCAGTTCGATTTCCGGTTTCAGCTGAGCTTCGATGGTCGTCAGCCACTTCTCGAACGACTCGTTGGACTCGTCGAAACCGGACCACCGTGAAATCTTCGACTGCAACTCTCGCTCTGTCGACGCGATGCTGTCGTAGATTTCCTCGAAGGCCTGTTGCAGGTCTAGCAACTGTTGGCGCACGATCTCTCTACCTTCTATGCCTGTAGTAGAGTACAGACGTTCTCCGGATTCGACGGTGTTGTTTATCAAGAGGGTTGCCGAGGACTGGCGAGCCACCAGGTCTTTCAGGGTCGCCACGTTCGCAGTCAGCTCCTGTCGCGTGCCACTCAGGTTCTCTTTGATGGCTTGGTAAGTGGCCCGTGTGTTTGCCAGCCATTCCGAGCACTGTTTGTAGCGTTCCAGGTACGCAGCGTGGTCTGCCACTGCTTGCTCGCATTTCTTCACCAATTCCTGCAATTTCGATAATCGTCCAATTTAATTTCAAATCTCGCGTGTTGGGTGTTGCCTCTTGGCCTAAGTCAAAGAGGTCTGCAGACGGTTTAAGTTTATGGGACGCGTTCGATGGTCAAGAGGGAAAAAAGTATGGGATGTGTTCCGCAGATGTGTCGACGTCTCGAGTGACGTGCAAGGTCGCCAACTTAGGGTCTCCTCTTAATAGCTGGCAGATGTGACGATGCGAGAATAGTGGTGGACAGACGGACGGTGTATAGATATAGCCTAAGAGTTTAGTTTAAAGTATACAGACTCGAGGGTGGAAAATTGGAAGTCGAAGGAATCGAAGTTTATGAGACCATCGATAATCCCAAACGAAAAATTCTTTTACAGGCACCATTAATATATTAGCAAAATTTAAGCTTCGAGAATAGAGATTGAAGCTCGAAAGCAGAAGTCTAGAAAATTAAAAATTGAAAGAATCAATTGGAAAGAAAATTGAAAAGATGGATGAAAGACGCTATAAAATTTTAGGTACATGGCTGAATATCGTGTCTCAAACTAAAAGACATTTTTATTAACAAAATTTATTAGCAAAATTTAAGCGTAGAGAATAGAGATTGAATCTTAAAAGTAAAACTCTAGAAAATTAAAAATTTGAAAAACCAATTGCAAAGAAAATTCAAAAGATAGATACAAAACGCTATAAAATTTTAGGTACATGGCTGAATATCGTGTTTCAAACTAAAATACATTTTTATTAACGCTTTGCAGTCGAGAAGTGACTCTCAGTCGCCATTTAACCAGATTCTAAAGATCAATGTTAATTGATATATCAAATTTAAAATTACCCAACGATGCGTGGAATTTTGAAATAAAATAATTCTACGTCTTCATTTGCACACGATTTCTTATTTACAGTTTTAAAAATGTCGTCCACTTTATAGCAGAAAGTCTTCCAATTACTATTTTTCTGTAACGACAAAATCGCCGAGTGCGAAGGGTTAACACGTTAAGTGCCACACCAGTCCCCAGAGATCAGCGCTAGACTTTCCGTTCGGACCCAGCTGGTCTTCAGGAACCAACCCAGACTAGGACCAAAAGGTGCTACTTTTTGGTTTTAAATTCTTCGTCATCTCTGGACCTAACATTTGGAAATTCCTATTTTAACAATTGGTACACTATCTCCGAGTTTTATAAACACTTTGTCCGCCATTGGTAGCCCACTTGACAGCCGAGTCTGGGTCTGAACGGAACAGCAAGCAAAGCGAACTAGGCACTTAACGTGTTAACACTAGAACTACCTAGATCTTTAACAGGTACCTGACTATAACGTGCACAGATTATAGTAATTTCAACGTTACGATAAATATGAGTGAATATATTGATTACAGTTCTTTCTTAATACGAGTTGATACCAATTTTATTCTTCAAGCAGGTGTACGTGTTCGGTGATTGCTAAAAGGAAAATTCTGGGACCAGTCATTTTCACTGGGTTGGTAGTTCTAGTGTTAAATAAGACAAAGCGAAATTTTAAAATTTAAAAGAATTTTAAAAAGTAAAAGAGGAGTTTCGATATTTACCTTGGCTGTAGCCTGAATAGATTGGAAACGAGAGGTGATCTGCTGAACGCTGGGCGAGAATCTGGTTTCCTCGCTGAGTTGCACCAGGTCTGAGGACTCGTCGCTCATCTTGTCGAATTCTGCCTCGTTCTGTCGCAGATTCACGATCAACATCTACGAAACAGAAACAACGTGAACATTCTAAAATATTTATTTGAACATCGTACGTTTCATTCGTTTTATACGCGAAGCTAGTCAAAAGGTCGTACGGGTAGTAGGTGATTTTCCGTCGCTCTGAAAACACCTGTTATTCACGGAGTTAGGAGCGATACACGCGTGTGAAGGTGTGCTCGTGTGTGGTGTACAGTCGGTTAATGCGAACTCAATCAATCGATGGCCATGGATTTTTTCGCGTGCCATGACAACGCGATACGAACTTGGAAACACGATTCTTCGATCAAGCGTGCTCGAAACAACACGTCTGCATGCATCGAAGTAGAAACAGCGGGTAAAGAATATTATGGAAAATTCGTGTATGTTAAATAAACCTTAGAATACTGGTAAAACGTTTGCGAAGAGGAATGTAAGTATCGCAGTGTAAAGTTCCCAGTGTACAGTGTATCGAGTTTCGCATACTCACCCGTGGATTTGTCAAATCATTTCGTACATACTCTCGACTTAAATCACACTGAATCGTTGTAGTAAAAGATAGAAAAAAGAAAAAAAAAAGAAAAAAAAAAGAAAAAAAGAAGAAACGAGACAAGAAAAGAGACAAAAAAACTCCAAAAAACGATGAGAGTATAGAAAGATGAAAGATGAAGAAGAGACAGAAGAAGAAGAAGAAGATGAAGAATAAAGAGAAGGAGACAGTAACGAGAGATGAATTTACAAAAGCGTTCACAACCCTGATCGAACAAATTTTGTCCATGTTTCTCTTACTTGGTCCAGGTGGTCTCCGAGGGCCACCAGTTCCGTCACTTCCGTGTCCCACGACAAGGCGGTTTTTTGTAGTGCCTAGGGAAGTTTTCCAAAATACAATGCCTGAACTCATATACCACTTCGTCTCTCTCGTATCTTTTCCTCTTCTCGATCAAAAAAATGAAAAATCTCCGCGAAACTCGTCATTTGTACATTTTTCCAGTACAACAAAAATCGCGTGCTAGGTGTCGAAAATTTGCATTAAAAAAAAAAATAAATAAATGAAGAAGAAGAAAAAAATAGAAAAAGAAAAAATAATCGTTCTATGTTGAAACGCGACGATTCGAAAGAGTGGCACTTATGGTTGTGACCTATAGTGTACGTTGCAAGATAAGACGCTAATTTTCTAACGTGTTTCGAGATAAAGTATTACCTGGTACTTCTCCAGCTGCTCTTGCTTCTCTTCCAGAGTGTTCTTCAGCGAGTAGTTCTTCAAGGACGACTCTGCCTCAGCCAGCCAGGCTAACAGACGTTCCAGGGAGTTCTCGTACTCGCTCCATTGCTGGATCCTTTCCTCGATGCATCGAACGATGTCGTTCACACCGGTGGCGAATGTTTTGTGCTCGAATCTGTTGGATAAGTTCGTTTCCTCGAGAAGTTCGAATTTAGTTGGCTGTAATTCCAAAATGGACGAGGATGAAGCCTACCTTAACGTGGCCAGGTCCCTTTCCATGGTCTCTAGCGACCTAGGTGACAGATTATGCGCGCTCTGAGCTACGTGTTCAGCTAGGATGTCCAGTTTCAGTTCTCCCTCCCTCTGACTATCCTGAAGTTCCAAGATCTTGGTCAACTGAGCCTGAAGAGCAGCCTTGTTGTCCGTGCAGTCACTGTAGTTAGCCAGTTGCTCCCAACGTTGCTTCTGATAGTCCTGATAGGACTTCTGGAGATCGTAGAACTGCTGGAACGTATCTAGGAGGGTCTCCAGGTTGGTTATATTCTTCTGTGACATGTCCACCAGCTCTTCGTATCTTTTAGAGACGGATGCAGCTTTCTGTTGTGCATCTGACGGTGCTTGAACTCTCAACGCGTTTGCTTTCTCAGAGACTCCTTCGATGATGCGTTTATAGGCCAGAATCTCTTGGTGCACACCCTATGGGGATTTTGGAAAATCAAGGATGAAAAGTGTCCTTCTTTGCGTTAAAAGTCGAAAGAAATCGAAAGGAATCGAAGGATCCTAGTTACCTTGCTCTTCAGCAGCTTGAATTTAATTTCTTGAAGCGAAGACCACGTGATCGTCGAGTCCTGCTTCACGGATCTTTCCATAGTGTCTAACCAGGCTAAGATTTGCTGTAAGGTCTCCTGGTAGTTGGACCACTGCAAGGACTGGGCATCTTGCTTCTTCTGCTGTTCGGCTATCCCTTCTACCAGCTTGTCCCATCGTTCTCGAGCCTGTCTCAGCTCGTGACGAATGATCTCCCTTCCCTGAGCCGACGTGTCGCCAAGGATCCTCTCCCCGAACGATATCAGGCTTCCCAATCGATGTTCTCCTTGCTCCTTCTTAGCCAGCAGGATCTGTAAGCGCGACACCTTCTCCTCGAGGTTTTCACCCGTGTCGTCCTTCTTCAGACCGGCTAAGCTTTCCTCCAATTGAGTCAGCCAGGTGTCTACGACTTTCAGCTTCTCTTCGTAGGCCTGGTGGTCGTCCACGATACTCTGGCACCTGGTCACCACCTCTTTGCTGAGCACGTGTAATTGCTGGTACCTGAAATGTTCGTTGGAATAATGGAATGAAATTTGGACTTCGCGATTTATCGAAGTTTCGAGCTAGGTCTGTCTATAAAGAACGTACCTGTTGCTAATCTGCGAGATCATGGGCTTGATGCGCTCCACACCGCTCGCGTGAAGCAGACTGTGAGACTTGTCAACGAACTCGTCTATCTTGGATTCTTCCTTCAGTATAGCGTCACGTTTCTCCCTCAGAGCTTGCAAGCGAGCTTCCTTGTCCTGCAAGGTGGGCTGCAGTTGTTGGTCTCTGAAAGCAGCTTCCATCGTGCTGAACCACTTCGTGTGCGCTTCCAGCTTGTCCTCGAAGTCTTGCCACTTCTGCAGAGCTGTCTTTTGCTTCTCCTCCACTGACTCTATTTCGCCTAGGTATTGACGGAGGTTGCCTTCCAGGTCACTGATCTCCTTGTCAATGGCGTCCCATCCTTTAGGCGTGGTTCTCTTGATGACACTTTCGCTGAGTTCCTTCAATTCTCTTAGCTGCTCTGCCCCCTGCATTTGGTCGTCCTTCAACATTGCCAGCGTCGCGAGTCTCTTAGAAATATCTGTTCGTTCTCCAGTCACGTCGTTGCACTCTGCGAGCTTGTCTTTCTCGCTGTTCAACCAGTCAGAGAAGCTCTTCGCCAGCAAGTTGAACTTGTGATGCTTCTCTACGCAGTCCTCCAGATTTTCCAACAGATTCTTCGATTTTGCCACGATGTTGTGGAATAATTGCTTGATAGAGGGCAAGAAGACGTTCAGGCAGGTATCCTTGGTCTGATCCACCAGCTGCTGAGCAGTGTCGCACACGGACTCTACCAAGGTTTGGTGAGACATGATTTCTTGGTGCATGATCTTGAGATTCTGCAGCTGTGCTCGTTTCTCTTCCAAGGTGCTCTTCAGCTCGGTGTGCTGGAACATAGCACGTTCCACATCTCGCAGCCAGGCTATCAGCTGCTCGTGGGACAAGGAGAATTTGGCGAACTGCATCAGACATTGGTCCAACTTCTGCGTAGTGTTCTGCAGGTCCTCGGTAAATCCGTCCCACAGGGTTCTCAGGTTTCTCAATTGCTGTCTGATGATTTCCCTGCCATCGGGAGACGTGTGGCCGTATAGTTTCTCTCCGAGATCTATGACAGACTCGAACCTGGCGTTCTCCTTCGTTCTAGTGTCCCCCAGGTCACGGATGAGCTTCTGTCTGCTTTGCAGCACGAACAAGTCACCTACTATATCGCTGTGCTTCTTCAGTTCTGCTTGAATAGCCGTGATCCACTGCAGCAGTTGGTTGTACTTCACATTGAAGGCGTTGTGTTCCTTCACGAACTGTTCGTATCTCATCACTGCTTCCTTTATCTGGTTCTTGATAGCCTGGTACTTGGTAGTCTGCCTGGAAACCCTGGTGGCCAGGTCTGTCTCAGCCTCGATGCTCTGACTTCTCTCGATAGCAGCGTTGAAGTCAGCTCCTTTCGCGATGATAGTTTCCTCCAAGGACTTTAGCTTCTGCAGGTGTGCTCTCTTCGCCTCTTCCGTGCTCTTCAGGCTTTGGTCCTTCAGTTGGGTCTCCATCTGCTTGATCCATACCTCCAATCCTTCCACGATCTTCTCGAACTCGGACCATTGGTTGAACAGGTGTTTTATCTTGTCCCTAGCCGTGACGCATCGCTTCAGGAAGTCTTCCCAGATCTTCTTTTGCTGTTCGAAGTTCGACAGCAAGGCTGGGTGGCCTGGCAGAGAGGTCTGCTCGAGGACGATGTTCAACTGCTGGTTACAGTCAGACAGGATTCGATTCCCTTCCGCTTTCTGCTGCAGCAGGTTCTCGATGGCTGTAATCTTATTCTGAGCTGTGTCTCGTTCCACAGAGAAGTCTTCGATTATCGGCGTTCCTTCGTTGATCACCGTGTTGATCCAGTCTCGGGTCTTCTCGAACGTCTGCAGATAGGCCTCGTGATTGGAGACATGCTTCTCGGCTATATTGATTCGTCCCTCCACTTCGTTGGACAGTTTCTCATAAGCTTCGATCACGCTGCCCAACATCTCGCTGGCTTCGTCGTCCGGTGCTGAGCTTAGTCTCTCCTGCAGCTGCTGAAGGATGTTCTTGTGAACGGTGACATCCTGGGCTACAGCTTTGTACAGGTGCAGAGTCAGTTTCTTCTCCTGCAACGTCGGTAGCAATTCCTGTTTCTCCCCTAGCTTGTTCTGAGCGTCCACCAACCACTGCTTCACCTGGGAGAATTTGTCTTCGAAGGAAGACCTGTGCATCATGTCGCTCTCTATCTTTTTATAAATTACGTTTGCACGGTCTGCCATGGCGTCCACGCGATTGCGGAAGTTCCTCAGCTCCGTTCGAATCATTTCCCTCTGGTCTGGCGTGATTCTAGCGAACAAAGCTTCGCCGGCCTCGGCTGTTCTGGTCAGTATAGCCTGTCCAACTTCGCGTTCCTCCGCGAACGCCTTGAGTTCCTTCAGACGCGACTGGTAGAAGGTTATCGGCTTTGGACCGGTGATTTCGTCGAAGGCTTTCAGAGTTTTCTCAGCCTCCTCGAGCCAAGCCTCCAGCTTCTTCTTATTCGCTAGGTACTGGTCTCTGTTCTCCTTCAGTTCTCGAATTCTGTCCAGGTGTTGAGCCAGGAACTTCAGCACGTAATCGTAGCGAGTGTTGAGATGACTGATGTATTGGTTCACTCGGGATTCGGAGCTAACTCTGGTGATGTCCTCTGCTAAAGCAGTCAGCTCTTTCAGTTCTCCTTGATACTCCATCACCGTTTTCTGCACCTGCTCCATCTCCGCGATTTTCTGCTCGATGTCGTCCAAATTCAGCAACGCAGACGCCTCTGCTCTAATTTTGTTCTCATTTTCCTTCAGCCAGGATAGGACGTTCTCGGAGGTAAGCTCGTAACGCTGCCATAGGCCGATATTTCGTTGTAGATCGTTCTTGATTTTCTCATAGCTGCTTTTCAGGCCATCCAGGTCCACTTCGACCTTGTCCCGCTCTGCTTTTAGGCCAGCCATTGTCTCCGCGCTTTCCACCGACGCCAAGAGCTTCAGCGAATTGTCTGTATCCTTCTTCCTAGCAGTGCAATCGGCGATTCCAGCCTCCACGTCCATCAGTGACGCCATCTTCACCTCTAGATTGTAACGGTCGCTGCTCTGTTCAGGTTCGCACCAAGCCACCTTTTCCTTAAGCGTCACCACCATTCGCTGAAGTGCTCCGAACTTCTCGTGGTACTGCTTGGTCAAGAAGGCTACCAAAGTCGCTATCACTTTGTTAGCGTGATTGGCCACGCCGTCTCGTCGAAGCTGCAGAGCCTGCAGTTCCTTCGGCAAGCTAGACCTGGAGATACTGGGATACTCCGTGGACATTTTCGTCAATGTCTCTTCGACTTTGGATAGAGTATAATCGCATTGCTCCAGTTCTGTCTTCAGTTCTTGACATTTGTTGATTCGTCCAAGGATCTTGGTGTTTTCGCCAGTCAGATCGTCGCATTTGATGATGTCTTCTCTGATCTTCGAGATTAAGTCCCCGCATTTCTTCATTTCTTGCCTGATCGTCCTTTCTTTCTCGTTCAACGTAGACGTCAGAGACTCCAGCTTATCAGCCGAACTCTTGACCATCTTGAACTGGTCGTCCAATAACTTGTGCAGGGAATTCAAGGTAGGGATATCTGTATTGTTGTTCAGTTTCACCAGTTGCTCGATTTTCGTGACGATGTTCTGATACAGCTGCTGATAGCCAGGAAGCTCCTCTCTGTACCTCACCAGTCTTCCTTGACAGTTCTCAGCGTCCATTAGACGTTCGAATGCATTGGTCAGAGTCTCGTTGGTATTGGTGAGCCATTTAATCAGTTCAGACTTGGACTCTTCTATCTGTTTCCATATGATCACTTGAGTCTCGTAGGCTTGCAGCTTTTCGCTGATGTCGTTGTAGGTGTCCTGGTACTGCTGTCGAACTTCGGTTAGGTCGTTCTCGATTAGCTCGGAATTGAATCTTGGCATCAGGGATGCTTCCTTTGTCAGCTGCTGCGCTTTGGAATCCATTTTGTCCAAGTGGTGCTTGCCTTTCTTCAGCACCTCTAGAGCTTTCTTGTGTTTCTCCAAAGTTATGTTAGCTTGAGTAACGTCATAGGACACTCCTTTGACCGACTGACACAGACTGGTGGCTTCCTTGACGGACTTCTTCAACTTCTCTCTAGCTTCCTCGTAGACTTGCCAATCGGTATTCATGTCTGCGTATTTCTTCCTCTGTTCTCGAAGAAGTTCATTCACCTTCTCCCAGTTAGCGTCGACAGAGGACAGGACAACCTGGATGTTGGTCGTCGATCTCTGGTCTTCTTTCATCAACGAGCTGCCTTCAAAGTGCAGGACCTCTTTCTCCTGCTCTCTCTTCTGGTGTTCCTCGATCAGCTGATCGATCTTCTCCACAGCAGGTGCCAGCTGTTGGCAGGAGTCGACGTTGTAAACCGTCTCTTGAAGAGCTGTTTGGGTGTTCAATATCTTCTCCGTGATCGTTTGCTGCAGCGTTCTGAAGTTGTTCCATCTGGCACCAAGGTTCTCCAGCTTGTCTCGTTTCACGGATATCTCGTTCTGCAGAGACAGAGCCTTGTTCTCCAGGTCGTTCAGCAGATCCGACGCTGAGAGGAGCTTCCCTTGCTTGTCTCTCACTTGAATCCCTGCGTCGCTGTCAGGAAGAACGTGCTGCTTCCAGCTGTCTATCTTCTCGTATATAGTCTGCAACTCGGACGAGAATCTCTCCAGATCAGTGATGGTTGGTTTCCTAGCCTCTGCCTCGTACTTGCAGTGGTTCAGTTGCGCGTTCGCGTCAGCTAACCAACTCAGTAGCTCTATCCATTTCTCCAATCCCTTCTTCTTCTGATGCAGGTCGCTCTCCAAGGCCTTGTACTTCTTCTCCAAGTTGGTATAAGTGTCCACCAAAGCAACCGTTGCCTTCATAGACTTCTTCGGGCACATCTGCTTAACCTCCTCGCAGATAGCTTCCAAATTAGGCTGCTTCTCAGAGTGTTCCTGTATATACGCGTGTACAGCCTGAAGATTCGTGTCGACTGTATCGATGGTAGCATCGCTGATCTCAGCGATATTCGACCTGAGTCGTGACATCCAGTTCTCGAGATCGGTGATCTTCATCTGGAACTCCTGGCGTGCCAGCAGGCAGTCGGAAACACGATTGATCTGCAGTCTCACCGTGTCAGCCAGCTTGCTGACTCTGGATTTAATATCGGAGACTCGAGCTTTCAAGTTGGTCGCTCCTTCCAAGGACAATCCGTGACTGATGTGATCAGACACCTGCGTCAGCGATATCAGCTGTGCCTGATGATCCGATATGGTCTTGTTCAAGTCCTTCAGTCTGGTCAGCTCTTTCTCCAGCACGGGTACCTCGGGTGTCTCGACGTTGGGCTCCATCAGCACCGTTCTCTCGGATTTCTCTAGCCATTCGTTGAATTCTTTGATCTCGCACTCGAAGCTGTTCCATGAGGTCACCAGTTTGTCCAATTTCGTAGTCGTCTGTACCGCCACGTCGTGGACAGCGTTCCAACGAGTGTGAATAGCGTCCACTTCGTCGGATGCAGACGTTTTACCTGTGATTCGCTGGCTGACAAGAGACAGGTCTTGAATACGTGGGAACTGTTGCTGACATCGCGTTTCGAATGCTCTGGCTGTCTCTAACATGTGCGTTGCCTGAGCCAGAGTGGTCGGTTTGCTGCCTATGGTAGCTGCCTTCGACTCAGCCTCCTCGATCCAAGGTTTCAGCTCCTGGATTCCTTTCTCGTACTCCTTCCAGGTCTGCAGGTTCTGCGCAGCGGTTTGACGCTGAACCACGATGCTCTTCTGAAGAGTTTCCAGGGTTTTCTCGAGATTTATGATGTCACTGCGTAGCTGCTTGCCTGGTAGACTGTCAACGCCACCTGGAAACGCGAAAAAATGTTACAGATAGTTCGAAGGAAGAAATTGGAGAGTCTAGAGGATTAGTAGAGTTACCAGACCTTTTACGAGCTTCTGAGACTCCTCCTCGAGGAACTTGAGCGTCTTGCTCTTCTCTTGAATGTCCTTCTGCAAGGTCTCGGTTCTATAGACCATCTCTTCAGGGGTGGTCGCCAAGTTCTCCGTGTCCGCGATAGACTGTGGAGCACTCTGCTGGGTCCATAACTGTAGTTCGCTCAATTTCGCCTGGAATTTGTTCCATCGAGTACTGTGTTCCTGCAGATAAACCACCTTCTCTTGGACAGTCTTCAGGGTGGTCTCTACTCTTTTTTCCGTTTGCGTGATCTCCTTCTTCAGTATCTCTTTCTTCTCCTTCGGTGTCACGTCGGCCAAATGGCTGTACGTCTCTTGAAGCCTCTTCAGCAACTCTTCGGCGGATTTTCTCAAATTGGAGCTGAAGTCCTGTTTGCTCTGCAGGTCAGACGATACTTGCGAAGCTTCGTAATAGGTCGTAGACTCGATTTTCCTCAATTCTTCCTCGGCTTGTTCGATCAGCTTCAGGATCTCCTCTTTCTGTTCCAAGTAAGTGCTCCACAGCTTCTGCGAGCTCTTCAGAGACTTCAGGGTCTCCACGCTCTGTCCGTACGTGTCGTTCCAGCTGGATTCCAATTGCTGCACCTCCAAGGACACGAACGGAGGCGTGTGCTGGTCTTTCAAGAGATCCTTGCCACGCTGCAGCATGCTCACGATGTTAGGTCTCTGCTGCTCCAGCTGAGTCAGACGACTTTCCTGGTGGGTAACCGCGGTGTGCAATGTCTCTGGACATTCGGACACCACGTCCACCTTGGACTGATCGCGGACCTTGTGCAGAAGGGTGCACACTTCGCGGACCTCTTTCCTGTAGGTGTAACTCTTGGAGTAGATGTCGGTCTTCGTCATGGTGATCTCTATCGTCGGAGTGAGGTTCTTGTAACGCGTGATCAGTTGCTCCAGACGGTTCTGCTCTGATAGAGCCTCGGGATCCGATCGGTTGGAAGTCAGGCTATCTAGAGTCTGGACTAGCCATTTCATTTCCTCGCGCTTGCTGTCCGACTCTCTGCATATTTTCTAGCGAGTAAATAGAAGAAAATGTTAATGCAATGCACTCGAGATACAGTATATTCTAATGCGCCTCTATCTATCTACTTCTTATTAAGTTCCTATCACGCGAGGTACACGATTATATTTACCGTTAAGGCTTGAACCTATCCAGCGAAGCAATGCAAAGAAGAAACGAGGAAAAAGCATTTAAGTGCAAGGTAATAAAATGGTGATTGTTTGCTTTACGGTAATAACCGCTCGCGAAGACTCGTTTGAAGAGCAGTAATGTTTCTTACTTGGAATATCGCTTTCTCTGTCTCGAATTCCTCCAACGTGTTCACCTCGTGCAGTATAGTCCTCAGATTGCTGTCTACGTGGTCCATCCATTGCACCATCTCGTCGAATCTGTACGAGAAATTCGCAGGGACCAAGATTAACGAAGATGTCGACGAAGAGATGAAATTTAACAGCTGTCAATAGCTGTGAATAGATTTTTGGGATTTTAATCAGGGGGAAACATCTAAGATACTCACTTCTTCTTGTAGGCAGCCCACTGCTCAGGCACTTGCTTCAATTGTTCCCTCAAGTGTTCCACTCTCTGGGCGGAATCCTCCCACATGCGTTCAGCGTGGTGCGCAGCTGTGGCCAAGCTGTCGTCGTTGGGTTCCATCTGGCTGTAAACGTTGCTGATCTTCTTCAGGTTCTGCAAGCACTTCTCCACCTCGAGAACGGTGCCACGGTTCACGAAGAACTCTTTGTTTCGCTGCAGGATGCTCTCCACGTTGTCGTTCTTTATCAGAGCCTGCTGCTCCGATTTCACCTCCACTTCGATCTCCTTGATGTATTGCAGGAACGTGGCTTCGTCCAGGCGAAACTCCAGTCTCATTAAATGAAGAGGAGCAAACGTCAGCACGTCCTTCCAGCGTTTCTGAAGCGCTATCACAGCCTCCTCGATGGAAGCTTGCTTCTCGACAGGTAGAATGTTCTTCAAGTCCTGTCCAGCGTTCACGAAGTCTTGAATCCGTTTCTCGCTAACGTTGCTGAAGAAATTCTTGTGGTACTCTATGGATCGTTTATTGTCGGTGTGCTTGTCGTTCATCATAGTCTCCGCGACTGACAGCCATTCGCAGACTTGTCTCTCGCACTCTTTGAACCTGGTCCAACATCTGGCTGCCTCCTGAAGTCGTTGCTCCCAGGTCTGAGCCACTTGGAACACTTTGTTGAAACGTTCGTTCAGCTCTCTAAGCGTCTTCCCACCTTCCGCGGTGGCCACGTCAGCGTGACTGTCTACAGACTTCACTATATTGGCGAACACTCTGTTCTTGGACTCCAGCATGGACTTGTAGTAGAGAGTTCTCAAGAAGAAGCCCTTGTGACGCTCTAACTGAGCCAAAATGTGTTCTCTGCCGGCTGACAGGTCTACGTTAGCCAGCATCTTCTCCGCCTCGTCTAACCAGAAAGCGATTTGTTGCTGTCCAGTCTCCAGGGACTCCTGCTGTACCAGGAGTTGATGGTACAGGTGCAGTTGCATGGGTATCAGAGCTCGTACCTTCACTAGAGCTTCCTTCTCTTTCTTCAGGGTGTTCATCATCTTGTCAACTTCGTCGCGGGACAGGTCTTGGATGAGCGACTGGAATTTCTTGCTGATGTTCTTGAAAAGGTCTTCGATCCCTTCCACCTCGTTGTGGAAGACTTGCAGCTTCTGGCCGTAAGCCTTGATCTTCTCAGTCGTGGTCAGGTCGGTAGCCGACAAGGCTGCTTCGACGTTTCTCAGCCAGGTCTGCAGAGTCTCCACTCCGGCTCTGTAATCCTTTCTGTTTCGAATCACGTCTCCAATATGCATGTACTGTTTCGCTTCCTGGAACAGGGAATCCCATCTGGAGGTAAGACTCGTGTAACGTTGCTTCAAGTCCAAGGCGACTTGTTCGTTCGAGGTGGCGATCAAGAATGTCACGGTGTCGGACAGTTGCTGGTGTTTGTCCTTCCACACGCTTATGTCTTGGAAGAACTCCATTTTGTCCTCCTCGGGGAGGCTCAAGGCAGGTTCAGCACGGTTCAGCCAGTCCACGAACTCGTCGGAGATGACGTTCCATCGACGCCAATAGGCTACCACTTCTTCCAGCATGCTTTGCACGCAACGAAGGTCTTCCACTTGTCGTTGGTCTCTTTCATGAAACGATCGATACTCGCGTTCTCTTCTGGGTCTGTCGCGTAGGGTGAACAAACGTTCGAGCGTTAGAACTCGGAATGCTCGGTCTAACTGACACTAAACTCTACGATTTGTAATTAAACGAGCTTAACATACTCACCGATATTGCCCACGCATTTGTATTCCTCGACGACTTGTTGCATGTCGAGGTACGCTTTCTGGAATTCGTGAAAGATTCTGTTTCGCGACACGAACATTCTGTATTGTTCCAGCATCTGATGCACGCTCTCCTCGGAGCCGTACTTCTCGCCCCAGCCCTTCAGCTTCGTCTCGACTAGGAACAAGAAAACGATAAGGCAGCACTTGTGTTCGAGGAACTTTAGTCGGATTCTACATTTGGCGGCGCGATCCGGCAGACTGTCCAACCGGGCCGCCATTTCGTTCAGTTGTTCAGGGTGTACTTTCAACGCGGCCTCGGAATTTCTGGCCGCCTGGAACTGCTCCGTCATGGACGGAAGGTCGAGGAAGAACTTCTTGTGCTCTTCCAGCTTGTTCGAGATTATGTTCGCCGTTTTCTCCGTCATTTCGTCCGGGATGTCGTCGCATAGCAGCAGTTCTTCCGCGCGACACAGCCATCTGCCCACCACCCCCAATTCGCCTGGCAGATGAGAGTCTAGGAGCCAGAGCCAGCGTAGCATCTAACGAAACAAACGATGGAACATTTTTACAGTGTCAGTTTACTGATCGATCACGAAGAATTAACCTCTTAAACATTCCAATCACCAAGTAGCTGTTTCTTTAATTGATAACTCCCAGTAGAGTTAATTTTGAGATAGACTAAATTAGACGTTGGTTATTTTACTCGTGCACACCTCGATTATACCCCCGTGACAGTCACGGTGTCAGACTGATCAATAGGCATGCGTAGACCAGCCTGCGAGCGTCACGTGCTGGATATTTAGGGGACTAAAGGCAATATGCTGATACGTGTATTGATAACTGGATAAGGAACACTATTTCGAGCATTCGTATCAGGATATACGTAAAATTATTGAAGGTACTCTAAGTCTCTGATTATTAATCAGGTAGTAAATTAGACCGTGCAAGTAAAGAGTAAGATTCGACATCAGACTTTGTTATACTCAGAGTTTGGACTTTTTTAACTCTTATCAGATGCTAGCTTTTTACACGTGATTCTCGCTAGGTTTAGGTAGCTGGATTCGGTAAATGTGCGAAAAATTTTCGTCTTGTCAGCTCCCACGTGACACGCGACTGCAGCGACAAGGTACTGTTGTCACGTGAGAGTTGACTTACGACCGATAAGGGTTAACCGTTTGAGTCCCAAGCAGCGCGATCGCGCTCAACTTTGCTGATGCATGTACGTCACATAGTACCAACAAGCGCTATTGCGATGATTGGGATTCTTCGACATAAAATTAAGCAAGCGCTATCGCGCCGTTTGGACTTCCTCGCACTCGATTAAGGCAAGCGTTATCGCGCTGTTCAGGATTTTTCGACCGTGTTCTTCCAAAGCCTCAAGCGCTACTTGGGACTCAAACGGTTAACAAGGAAAAAATAAAATTTCGAAGTTGTAAAATTTCTGAAGGATCTATCTAATCGTCGATCAAGTTCAACTCACGAGCATCTCCGAAAGTTTCCACAAATTCTGTACGTGCTTCCAAGAGTCCCTGGTGATGCTGATCATGCTAGGTGTCTCGACGAGGTGCTGCAGCTTGTCGTATATGATCCTTTGTTGTTCAGCCTCCGCTTTGAAGGCTAGGTACTCCTTTGTATAGAAAATTCGAAGAACACACCGTTATGATTTTATATATTGGGAAAAATAATTGTACGAGTAGGAATACATACGTCATAAGTGCCAGGCGAGGTGGTCATCTGCTCCAAGTATTTCAGCTTCTCGTAGAGCCAGCTGAGCAGCGCGTCGTACTCCTGCTGCACAGCCGCAAACGAGTCGGAGGCGGCTGACTTCGGTTCCGGGTACTTGTGCAAGAATTGTGCCACGTAAGTCATTATCGACTTCTCGTCGGGCTGGGGAACGTCGACGTCCTCGGGGTCAAGGAGTCTGGCGATACCTAGCTCCGACTCGGCCACGTGGAACGCCGTGGCTAGACGGGTTCTGTTCGTTGCTTCTCTCATGGCCGCGATGTTCACTAGATTCGCCTTGATCGCGTCGATGATAGCCAGGAAGGCGTTACCGTCGCGCCAGCTTTCACCGAAGTCTCGTACCTTTATGTCTCTGCGCCAAGGAAATGGGATTAATCAGAGTTTTCTTGATGCAAGTCGAATGGAGATGTTGGTATTTTGTAATTTAAGTTTGGCTTAGGAATTTGGTGTCTTTTCGTTTGGAATAAATTTGATTCCGTATGAGAAATAATAAAATTAAACTCCCATATTTTTACCTGTATATAAATAAAAATGGGAGGTTTGTTAATGCAAGTCGACTGGAAACTTTGGTATTTTGTAATTTAAGTTTGGCTTAGGAATTTGGTGTCTTTTCGTTTGGAATAAATTTGATTCCGTATGAGAAATAATAAAATTAAACTCCCATATTTTTACCTGTATATAAATAAAAATGGGAGGTTTGTTAATGCAAGTCGAGTGGAGATGTTGGTATTTTGTAATTTAAGTTTGGCTTAGGACTTTGGTGTTTTTTCGTTTGGAGTAAATTTGGTAGCATATCAGAAATAATGAAATTGAACTCTCATATTTTTGTCTGTATATAAATAAAAATGGGAGGTTTGTTAATGCAAGTCGACTGGAAACTTTGGTATTTTGTAATTTAAGTTTGGCTTAGGAATTTGGTGTCTTTTCGTTTGGAATAAATTTGGTTCCGTATGAGAAATAATGAAATTAAACTCCCATATTTTTACCTGTATATAAATAAAAATGGGAGGTTTGTTAATGGAAGTTGGGTGGGGATGTTGGTATTTTGTAGTTTAAATTTGCCTTAGGACATTGGTGTATTTTCATTTGGTGTAAATTTGGTACCATATGAGAAATAATGAAACTAAGGTTTCTTATTTTTGTGTCTCTGTATAAATAAAAATAAGAGTTTTCTTAATACAAGTGGAATAGAAATGTTGATATTTTGTAATTTAAATTTGCCTTAGGACTTTGGTATTTTTTCGTTTGGAGTTAATGTGATAGTATATCAGATATAATGAAACTAAACTATCGTATTTTTGTGTCTCTGTATAAATAAATATGAGTGGTTTGTTAATAGGAGTCGAGTGGATGAGACACTGGTACATCATTGATTACTCTTTTTGTGTCTCTGTATAAATAAAAATGGGTGTTTTGTTTCATAATTCTTGGTCCTGAGTGCTGGACTCTGAGTTCTGAGTTCTCAATTTTGAATTCAGAGACCTTAGTCCTTAATAATTCCACGTGAGTTATCATATGTTAGTGAAAGTTGAGTGGATGAGACGCCGATGTTTCGTCGTTTGAGGCTAAGTTTAACTTAGGATTTTAATGTTTTATCGTTTTCGAAAATTTGGTAACGCATCGAAGATATTAAAATCAAAGTCTTGCACTTTTAAAATGAAAATAGGATTTGTTAATGGAAATCGAGTGTATAAGACACTGGGGTACGTCATCGTTTATTCCTTTCAGGGTACCGACTGGTTCTCTGGGATGAATTTACCACCGTATGGAAATAAAAAAATGTTGGCACTGGATTTTCTAGCATACGTATCGAGAGTACTGACTTTGGTAGAGCGTTGGTGACCCATTGTAGCAGAGTCTTCCTCGCACCCTGCTTCCATTTCTCACTGCTGATGCGTTTCCTCTCGCTGGTGGCTGATCCTTGGGTGTTGAGGCTCTCCAGGCTGCTCTGGCTACCCCACGTGTGTCCAAGATACTCCAAAGCCCTGGTGTTCTCCTCGATCTAGAAAAATACGGGATCAGTGGACCGCGGAATGCGGAGTTGGAGAAACGAGAGGGCTAAGGTTGAGCGGGGGGCAAGAGAAAAATCACAGAGGAAACAACTAATATGTGTACTAGGGTGATGCGTAAGATCATGTAGGTGCGTGCTAATTTAACATTCTCCTCTGTACACACAACTTTCTCTATGGCTTTAATTCTCTCATCGAGATCGTACCAAACTTGGTGACGATCGTATTTATTTATTTACTTATTTCTTTTTATTTATTTATTTTTTCTTTTTTTTTTTCTTTTTTTGGTTCATTTCTTTTTTGTTAAATAGCTACTCACCTTCTTTCGATCCATTGATCGTAGCTTGTTTTCATGGAATAAATACGGTTAGCAGAATGCAATGTAATTTCTCGCTTCGCTCTTAACGAGGATTAATTTGGTTAACGAGAAGGGGCGAAGTAAATGATCGAGTGGTTAAAAAGTATTTGTCATTAAGAAGAGAATATTCGCACGGGATTTCACGGAGAGATTCGATACGAAATAGCGATCGATCAGCTTCGTGACGCTAGTAAATTAATCCGCGCTGCAAACATTTATATAATTCTGTTACGTGTGGCACGAGCGTCGTACTTAAGCAACTACCGCATTCAAGTTGAAAATGTGCTTTTTGCGTAGCTTCGGTCGTATTCGACTGTACAAACGGAACAGCGACTACCTGGAAGTAAAGGATGATAGTCCATATCAGGCCCAACACTACGGGCGGTCGTCCGTCCACGAAGTCGGACGAATTTATGTTCACCAACTTGATCTGTAACAATCAAATACCGGTGTAGTATACTTCTCGATTTTCCCAAATACCGATCTTTCAAAAATTTCCAATATTTCCAATTCCATTTATTATAATAAATATATTTATATTTCCATTTCCTTGTTTTTTAATTTATGAATGCCTATAAAGTAACTAAACGAATTAACCCATAAATTAAAAGATTGAATTTTTGAAAATGTTTGAAGTTTTGAATTAAAGTTCTGGAAAATTAAAGTTATAAATTTTGAACTGTCAGATGTGAGTATTTTGAAGGTTGAAATTTGAATATCGCACGAGGAATCGTTACTCACTTTTTTGCTCTGTAATATTTATATTTCCATTTCTAATAATTACCAAAAATACCAAAGTATGTATTTCAAATTCGTATTCTTTCATATTTCAAATCTGAATTTTCACGCAGGACCCCTAAAACTTTGAATTTGCACTCTGCAAAATTAAAATTCGGACTTTTGAAATTTAAATTTGAATTTTTTTTTAATTATAATTTATTTCGTGTCAATCTTATTGAGAGTTTTTATTAGGTATTAGTTATTTGTTTTTTAATTTATGAATGCCTATAAAGTAACTAAACGAATTAACCCATAAATTAAAAGATTGAATTTTTGAAAATGTTTGAAGTTTTGAATTAAAGTTCTGGAAAATTAAAGTTATAAATTTTGAACTGTCAGATGTGAGTATTTTGAAGGTTGAAATTTGAATATCGCACGAGGAATCGTTACTCCCTTTTTTGCTCTGTGATATTTATATTTCCATTTCTAATAATTACCAAAAATACCAAAGTATGTATTTCAAATTCGTATTCTTTCATATTCCAAATCTGAATTTTCACGCAGAACCCTAAAACTTTGAATTTGCACTCTGCAAAATTAAAATTCGAACTTTTGAAATTTAAATTTGAATTTTTTTTTAATTATAATTTATTTCGTGTCAATCTTGTTGAGAGTTTGTATTAGGTATTAGGTGTTTGCTGTCTCTCTTTTAATTTATGGATGCCCACAAAGTAACTGAATAAATTATCTCATAAATTAAAAGATTGAATTTCTGGCAGATTAAAATGTTTGAAATCTTGAATTAAAGTTCTGTAAAATGAAAGTTATAAAATTTGAACTCTCGGATATGAATATTTTGAAGATTGAAATTCGAGGAATCGTTACTCACTTTCTTGCTCTGTAAGAATTGCAGCGCGGTGTTTGCGTTGCTGAGAAAATGCGGTCTCTTCAGATTACGGCCCCTCTCCACCGGCTGCGAACAGAGAAACGCGTTCCGTACAAGTGCGTTCTATCGATCAATTACGATAGCTGCGATCAGACAGAGCCACTATTACTCCCAACTTACCAGCTTCTCGCCCGACAGAACTTCGAGCAATGCGAGTAATCGGGTGCCATCTTTCAGGTCTTCTATCAAGTCGTCCACTCGAAGCGGTGGACTTCTCTGAAACCCATTCACATCGTCGATACTCTCTTTCTCATCTCCAAAAATCTCCCTCAAAATCAACCGATCTTCGCTCTACTCCCGACTTCCAAATTTCGAGCAAAATTTTAAATATACACACAAAAAAAAAAAATAAAAATTGGCCTCGTTTCGCCATTTAATTCGCGAATTACACTGTCTCGCTTCTCATTGTCAGCGAAGAATGATTCAAAATGGAAGAAATCGCAATTTCACGCGTCTCTGTTTGCGATTCGTGTCGCAAAGAGATGTCTCGAGGATCTAATCTTCGGTGAAATTTCGAGCGAAAGACAGGGTCGAACGCAATGTCGTGCCTTTTGCAGGGTATGCATGTCGCGAGGCTTCGGGATTTCTAATTCAAGTTTCGAAGTATCCGGAAGTGCGGAAGTAGGGGAGCGGTATCGAGACTCGCGAGCCAGGCACGAGTTATTCTCCAGCGAACTTCTGATATTCGTGATGAGGAGTAATTTCGACCATGCCTCGTTATATGGAAGGGACGATAAAAAGGAGGAAGAAGGACGAAGAGTTGGCTAACATTCCGTGTATGGGAAACGTTGACAGGGAGGGGTACCGTTCATGGAAGAGAAATAGTTGGAAGACTCGAAGGTCGTTCACCCTGTCACCTGCTTCGGGAAAACAGTTTCCACGAGTTCTCCTTACCTTCGAGAGGTACGAGTTTATCCAGTTGACGAAGGTCTTCTTCTGCACGCGTTCCTGTTCGTCTGCAACGAAAACAGGCAGTTTTAACCGTGTAATAAAATATCACGAAATTGATGGAAGGAGATGAATAAAGAGGGTGAAAAGAGTTGCATAAATAAGAGGGTAAAATTTAGTAATTTTCGTTGCTAGCGAAATATTTTAAATCGCTATTTAAAATTTTCTTTCCCAATTTTAATTTTAACCCTTTGCGCCCGAGAGATGAGCCTCGATCGTCATTTAATAGAATTCTAAAAATCACCCATAAATAAGAGGGTAAAATTTAATAATTTTCGTTGCTAGCGAAATATTTTAAATTTTCTTTTCCTGTTTTAATTTTAACCCTTTACGTTCGAGAGACGAGCCTCGATCGCCATTTAATAAAATTGCAAAAATCCCCCATAAATAAGAGGGTAAAATTTAGTAATTTTCGTTGCTAGCGAAATATTTTAAATCGATATTTAAAATTTTCTTTCCCAATTTTAATTTTAACCCTTTGCGTTCTAGAAACGAGCCTCGGTCGCCATTTAATAGAATTCCAAAAATCAGTGTTAATTAATTTATAGATAAAATAACGCAACAATGTGCGTGGAATGTAGAAGTAAAATAATTCTACGTGTAAATTTGTGTGTAATTTGTTATTTACTGTTTCAACCCTTTGCACTCGGCCATTTTTTGGCTAAAGAAGAATAGGAGTTCGAAGATTCTCTACTAAAAAGCTGACGATACTTTTTTGAGCAGTAAACAAAGAATTGTATAATAATAGTATTGTAGAATTATTTGATTTCGATAGCTCGCACACTGTTACATTGCATTAAATTTGATATATTAATTAATATCGATCTTCGAAATTTTATAAAATGGCGACTAAAGGGCGCCCCTCGAGTGCAAAGGGTTAAAAATGTTATCAAATTTATGGCAGAAAGTCTTCGACCTGCTATTCTTTCACAAAAAGTTAAATTCGAATCTTAAATTCCTGTACTACTAATCTTCGATTTATTACGATGACGACATCGTTTCTGAAAAGGGATCCATAGACCCTTTCTTTATATCTCTATATTTATTATTCCCTATTATATCTCTAAATATCTCTATATTTATTCTTCTTTGGTGAATCGTGTTTAATAAATTGTCGCATTTAAAAATATCCCCCCAAATTCGAACTTAATATTCTGACAATTAGGATGAATGGAGAGCTTCTTGTTTACTCGTGTATGCTCGGTCTTCATTAAAACTAATTAGAACTTCTGACCCCGTTTACTCGGTTCACCATTTTCGTTCTTGGTTCCTTTCTCCATGAAAGGTTCTTTTGTCCACGATCTTTAAATTAACTTTAATTTTAACTTCGACACTGAACCCATTACAAAAATAATCATCCTTATAATTTACACGTAACAAATTTTTAAATATCACTTTCCAAATTTTTCAATTTTCCCAAAATGCATTTTCCTTTCAATTTTCCATCTGCCAGACATTTGATCGGTGGTGCTAAGTCCAGCGTGAAATCTAGATTTAAAATCCGGGTGTTAATTCATCGCGACGTTACTTCAATTAGTCATAGCGATTACGGTCGACCAGTTAATACGCGCTGAAACAGTGCATCCTCTTCTAGCTTTCGAAAAGAGGATGCACGACTCTTTATTTTCCAAGAAGATACGAGTACGATCTGTAGATACATTTCCTCTATTTTTCTACGCTTCAGAAATTCGAGAGCCAACTTTTATCTGCCACCATTAATCTCCGAAACGTGCCGATCCTCAAGGTTCTCGATCCCCGTATCTTCCGCGAGACCTAACCTCCACGCGTCTTCCGAGATAAATGAAAATTCTCCGCACGATTACGTAAAAGACTGATGCTAATTCCCGCTACGGCCAGGGCCGTACGAAGGGAAAGCTCTTATCTACCCCCGGTCGAAAAATGACTCATTGTTCCCGTTTCGTCGATGATCTAGATCGATCTGTAACCACGATCGTGCCACATATTCGCGATTCGAAGAAAGCGTGTATCGCGTGGTTAAATAATCGATATCGTCCTCTCGGATCCAAGAATAATTATGACACGATGCTCGCGGAGACGGAGATAACGGAGATGGCGAGAGTGTCGGTGATAATATTCGTACGTAGTATTCAAGTAAATGGTCTTCACTGTCATTACGTCATCGTCAATTGCTCTGCCTCGTGACCGTCGTGTTGCACGATCTCCGAATCGAGCGAGGAGCCGAGCTTTCGCGATTTTCGTCGCGAACCGGGCGCAAGATGGCGTCCGGCACGTTCACAATGAGCACCGGGTGAAGAAAAATTCGCGGTTCGTGGCGTGCAACGAACGCATCGACGCGAAGTAGCTGAAACCAGTTTCCCACGTAGTAAATTTAGCCAGGCGCGTATGCTGCGTCGAATAGACTGCTTTTATTGGCAGTAAACGTTCCTGCTCTTACGTGGGCCTTTAAAATATCCTTTCGGCTGTCCTGAATCATTCGCGCGATAAAATTTCATTCATTCCTCGCCGAAAGAGCCCGTATGCCGTTCCATTTCCGATCGTCTACGTTTCTCCGACCTTGCTTACTCCGATCACCGTCTTTATTATTCGACATAATCGGAAATGCCTTTTTTATACTATATTTTATAAAAGTATGGAAGGGAATTCTTGCCGAGCGTTGTTCGAGCCGGAGCAGGTAAAATTCGCGAATTCCCAGAGTTTCTAATTTATGCACCCTTCCTTCCTGCACGAAAATCGTCCAGCAGGCGTAATTACCAAGCGTGGACGAAAAAACGGCGTAATCTCGATCGTGGATCTTAATATAAATCACGTTTCGAGGGACGCATGGCTGGCATTTTGGCAACGATCGCCGCGCGAGGGATCGCGGTGGTCGATAAGCGGGCAAAGAGGAAAAGTTTCGAAGTCGCGAGCGTGGATTAAAAGGTGCGCGGGCAGAACACGTGCACGCGAGAAACGAAGAGGTGTGTGTTCCACGCTGTTGGCACTCGTACGTGATCTGCATGCACGTTGCGTACTGTCACTTCTCGCGTCAAAAGTACAGTGCACTCGCCTCCAGACTGTGTAGCCGTGTCGTGCACGGACGGAGCTGCTTATTACACGCCTTTGTTCCCCTCTCGCGTCCCAGCCCAGGTTCGGGCCCGCGGGAATGCTCGCGTGGATACCCCATGGGAAAAATTGGAAAGAAATCGAATTATCGCGAGAAGCTGTCCACCATTTTCTCTCGCACCGTGAGTCGGTATCGTCAACGCGCAGACTTAGCGAGCGAGCGGGACTCCCGAGCCACGTACGCGCATTAGGGAGGGGGAAGCAACCTTGATCGACGACGACTTCGATCGAGGCTATAGAAATGTATATCACGACGGACTCTCGCGAGAAGCTATCGCATTGTTCGCTAATAGATGTTCCTTGTATCCTAACGAGATATGAGTCACTGCTGCTAAATAGAGCCGGTAGCATTCGCATATAACTCGATACTCGAACATTTCTTGCCCGACTGTTCCTGCGTCCTATTATTATCGCGTGGACGTTATTCTCATTGATGACACGTGGAAACGCGAACATGGGCTCGATCGAGCGGCGCAAACCGGAGGACCATCGGCTGCGGACCGGTGTATTAATTCGCGTTTAAGGATTATGCAGATCGCGTGATCGATGCACGCGTAATGCGCCGTAAAATTACACGTTCCGCGCGAACGATGTAATTTAACTGTTCGCCGTGACGGATAGACGATCGGGGATTGGTGCAAAAACCCGAGGAACAAGCGAACCGAGGCATCCATTCGTCCCGTCCGTGAAAAGGGGACGAGTACTCTCGAGAGGAGAAGAGGAAGTGGAAAGGCTCGACCGAGTGTGAACAGCGGATTATATTATTAGTTTTAAATTACGCGGATTCGACGTTTTATTGGCGGCTTAATGGGACGATAATGGGGCCCTGGTTGGGAGAGGCGCGATAAATTTCGAAGAAATACGATTCGCGCATCGATACACGGTTAAGCGCGACATCTCTGGAGGGGAATAGAAAGAACGTCGCGTCGTAAAATGGCGGCGCTCCACGGCGACGGGGCACGAAGAGATTAATCTCTTTGTATTTTCGGGTCAGCAGTCGGCCAACTTTTATTCCACCTTTGGACGCATCGCGTTGCGAAGGTGCGGTCGCTCTGGCCGAAGAATACGGTTAAACGCGTGCGCGCGAGCGCGAGGCTGAATGCGCCACACATGGCGGCCGCATACACCGGTAACGAGCGTCGGTGTGATCGTTAAGCTTGCAAGTGGTCGTATTAAAAACTGTCTCTCCGCACGACTAACGCGTTTCATTCTTAATCTCTCTGGAAGCAATTCTGCTCGACGACCGTTTCTCTTTTAATCTTGATAATAACACGGGAGAGGCTTCTGGAGTCCCAATTTTTCTCGAGGCACTTGGAAAAATAAAATTGATCGCGAGCTAATGCAATCTCGACTTCGACAATAACCCCGTGCCAATGTCATCGCTGGCAAATAAATTCCAATCTTACAGCCCCGCTCGTATTCCTCGAACAAAGGCTGGCAATCTGCTCGTTAAGCCGGTGTTCCGGACGACGCGCGCGTTTCGGCGTTAGATAGCGCGTATCAGGCGCGAAAGCGAGTTTCAGCAAACGAAATTAATGGAAACAATTAACTGCGAGCAGCGAAACTCGACAGGCGTGGTTGCACGAGAATCGAGGGGGCCAGTCGTGGAAATGGCTGCCCCTCGCGGTGGCCGCTCTGTCTGACCCGTGCATCCGAACTCTCCTTTCCCTCTTTTCATCGTCGGAATCGTCGGATCGTCGAGTCTGACATTTAAAATTATCTCGCCTTTCTCCCCTCTCGTTTTTCCTCGAAAAGAGGCACACGCATAACGCGGACGCGCATATAAATTCGTATTTTTAGCGCTTTCGTGCGGCCCGCACGGCGCGGAGATGTTGAAAGCAAATGGCGGGAGGAGGAAGGGGCGATCGGTGAAGTGGGACAAATTCTCGTGGATGAGCTCATGTGCTTGATATCGTACGTGTCT